TTCAAATATTAATTTCCAGTTATCAAAGAGAATTTTTTTTCTTAATATTGGTTTTGTAACTATTAAATTGTTTATAATTCAGAAATGTAATATCGGTGTAAAAGCTATAAATGGTGGAAAAACATATTCTGTAATTGTGTTCCTGGGTCTCCACTTTTGCCATGACCTCTTTTGGCTTTAACATGCTTATCCCTCAGGTTTTTCCAAACTTTTTAACAAAAAACTTCCTTTTCCACTGCTGTTGCAATTTCTAGCCAAGAATTATAGGTTATCTGGTTATCCGTATGATCACGCATGGATGGATCATAAAGATGTCTGTACCTGTTTCAGACAAAAAAAAAAAAAACTCTTCAAAGTGATTCATATTAAGCTCAAATCAAACTGTTTGCTTGGGTCTCTAAAAATTTTGCGCGGTCGTCCAGCTGAAATCATGTCGTGCGCACCCAAAGCAAACCTTTTTTTTTTCTATTATTTTCAACAACTTGGAAAAAGTCTTGAATTACTTTAACTGTCATTTATTTTACAGCTCCAGCCAGGAATCATAGTCCCGTTGATGACTACAGTGAACCTGAACCCAAACCCGACACTAAGAAAGCTAAACCAGCAGGTCCTGCGGCTAAAAAGGTGTGGCACATTTCACTGTTTTCTGTTGTTGTAGGGAGTTGCTGCTAATAAAACAATCCAATCTGTGATCTAAATCATCCGGTGCCTAATACACAAGGGGCTGTCCATGAAAAGACAATGACAGTGTTCTTTCTCAGTTCAAAAATAAGCCTCTATTAAAAGTACATTTAAACGCTGGCCTAGTTTTCTGTGAAAGTCAAAAGACCATGGATTGGGTTCTGCATTTTTTAAGTGTTTTGAAATGTGCTGCGTCGTTTTCTGCACTAGAGCGAAAGCATGGAGCTCAAGGTGAAAGGAGAAAAAGATAATGCTAAGCAAAACAGGCTCTCAAGAGGGCCTCCTAGCAGTGAAAAGGTATATTGGAATCTCATATAGTGCACTACTGGAGCAGGTTTGGTGTGGAAGCACTGCATGTGGTGTTGTCATTAGATTCACAACGTTTCTGTCTTTGCAGTGATCTTTATTCAGTTGTAATGATTCAGTCCAATTTCAGCTTTTGAAGAATTCTATTTTAAAGAGCTAGGCTATACAACTTACTCTGCAATGTGGAAGTCATTTTATGAAATTGTTATGGGGCCTCCAATTAATTTGCGGTCAAGCTTTTTTTTTTTTCAACAAGCAAAGCGTGTTTGGCATAATAATACGAAAATATCACTTTGCAACATTAATCAGCCTAAGTTGTTTTTATGCCTAAAAAAAATTTACGCAAGTGAATGACACCAAAGTCTGGAGACGTCTTACTCTTTGCAGCCATTTCGTTGACAGGCAATTTGGCCAGTCATAACACGGATATGTTTCTCTATGCCCAAACATCGGCAGTTAACATGAAACATGCTTGTATAGGACTTAGAACGCAGCCAGAACTACTTAGAATGGCTGGTAATATTTTCTTTTTTCCTGAAACCTAGAGCAGTGAATTAAACGGAAAAGTTTGTGTGGACAGCATCCTCAACTGTCAATCAATGGTCCTTTTTACTTGCTAAAATTTTTGTGCACTGTCCCATAACAGAAAAATTTAGCTCATCAATCTCGAGTACTCTTGCTTAGTTAATGGAAATGTGACAACCTGTGAACTACCTGGAGACTGTGAGGTGAGCAAATTTAAAACCACATGACCCAGATAAACACTAAATTCATCTTTACTGCCTCCAATAGACCATTTTGAGGATTGTAAACAAAAACATTGGTCCAAACGTATTTCCTGTTTTACATTTTTAGTTTCAATAGCTTTAGAAAATCCAAGAAGCCACATATTGATAAATGTTATGAAAGCTTTTTTAACATTAAGTTATGATTGTGATAATGGCCTCTTGTTAGAGTTATGAAATAGTTTAATGACAAACAGGAAATGTTCATGAGCCAATGACATCAACACATTGAAATGGTCTATATATTCATAGGTGCATTGTCTTGTTCAAGGTGCCACCGTTTGTGAATTGCGTTAGGGAATCAATTTGATAACATTTTGATTGCATTCAAATGATCTGAACTTGTAGACTATAACAGTTTTTATTTATTTTTTTTGTTTACGCTTGCTAAAAATTTTGCTCTTAAAAATATAAATATATTACGCTCCCAAATATTTCCCTTGTGAAATGCAGAGCTTTACGTCTGTTATTGTCTAAAATCAGTATGTAATTTTTTCTAAATATTCACCATTTCCCTGGGGAGTGCACAAATTGATAAGGGAGCACTGAGTTTGATACTGAAAGCATGTTGGATTGTGAGAAGGGGGTCAGGGCTTTGCAAATGTCAATCGAGTTTCAGTGGCTGTGCCTGTTCTAATGTTAAAGAATAAGGTCAAATAGCTCTGAAATTCGCAATATGTAAATCTTTTTTTTTTTTTTTTTCCTTTTTTTTTCCTGCAATATTTCAGAAATCAGACTTTTAGGATCTTCAACAATTTAAGCAAATATTCACTTTAAACTTGATATATGCTAAGGTAACTTTATTGGAAATTTCTTAAATTCATTGTCGCACTGTGTTTTTGAACTAGTATATAATTTTACAAAGCAGAAATCGCAGAGCTCAGCAAACACTAAGCCAAAGAATCTAATATCAAAGAAGACTTCCCAACCTGAGCTAGTGATTCAGAGTACATAAAATGTTGTCCTGCCACTTTAGGTTGTTGCAGGAAAGAAACCTCCTGTTAAGGCTGGCGCAAAAGATGAGGAGGATAAGTCTGGTCCTATTTTCATCCTCGTTCCCAATGGCAAAGAGCAGAGAATCAAAGAAGAGAAGTCATTAAAGGTGAGCAGCGTCTCAGTGGTACTTGTGAATATTTGTCAACACTATTGAGTGGCATCTTTAGGCTCATCGTGTGTATGCGTTTGCTTACCAACTCTCCTCTAGATTCTGAAGTGGAACTTCATTACTCCTCGTGACGAGTACGTAGAGCAGCTCAAAACTCAAATGTCAACATGTCTGGCCAAGTGGCTACAAGACGAGCTCTTCCACTTCGACTTTCAGCATCACGTAAAGGCTATCGGAGCCATGATTGAGGTTTGTCATGTCAAAGCAGATGGCGAGTACGTAATTGCATCAAGCTGTACTACACTAATGTGTTTTATCTGTTATCCAGCACATGGAGGCCGAGTCTGAGGCTGTGATTGGCTGTCTGGACCTGGTGTTGAAGTGGTTTACTCTGCGCTTCTTTGACACCAACACTAGTGTGATCATGAAAACCCTGGAGTTCCTCAAGATGCTCTTCACCATGCTGAGCAGGAAAAACTACCAGCTCAATGACTACGAGGCCTCGTCTTTCATTCCTTACCTGATCCTTAAGGTAGAATTTATCTACCTGAACATTAACTATGAAGACAATTTGTTGAGAAACGGCCTGACGGGGTCCTTTTTTTTGCTTTCTTGTCTCTGAGCAGGTTGGAGAGTCTAAAGATGTTGTGCGCAAAGATGTCCGTGCTATTTTGGCGATGCTGTGTAAAGTCTACGCAGCGAGCAAAGTATTCCCTTACCTTATGGATGGGACCAAATCAAAGAACTCAAAGCAAAGATCTGGTAAGTGTGGTTTCCTCAAACCTTTAGATGCTTTCTACTGTGTAATGTACATTTTATTGATTTATTTTTTCACTCTTTCCAGAATGTCTCGAGGAGCTTGGCTGCCTGATTGAGAACTTCGGTATGAATGTATGCCAACCGACTCCGGCCAAGGCTCTGAAAGAAATCGCTGTCCATATTGGAGACCGTGACACTACAGTCCGCAATGCTGCCCTTAATACTGTCGTAGCGGCCTATAATGCCTGTGGAGACCAAGTCTTCAAACTCATCGGCAATGTAAGATACTAGTTGCCAATCGAATTTGTTTCACGTAATGGTGAATATTAGTCAAATAATCACATTTTATTTAGGTGGTTGATTACTTTAAAAAGCAGGGTCTCAAATGTAAGTCCCACACAAAAAAGCTATTAATTAATTCATTTTGTAAAATGTTTATTAAAGGAACTGCACAAAGGAACAGAACCCAAAAATGTCAAATTGTCATTTATTGACCTTTGACATGTTCCAAACTAGTTTTGAGGAGTATTTTTCACGAAAGATCATTCGAAGATTGTTTCAAACTTTTAGCCATTGACTTAAATATTGTTTGTTTCTACCATGTATGTCGGTTACATGTTTACTGCTTTCTTTAAAATGGAGGGTTTAGATGCAAAAACCTCAATGCCGTCTGACATTTGTGCAGGTTCAGTAATATTATTTTTATTGCAAATAATAAGTCCTATTTATGGTCTTTACAGTGAAAATTTTTAACAAACAAAAGAGACTTAGAAAATTTTTCATTTTTGATAGAAGTTTTTAGAAGGTACTTAAGTTTTTGCATCTGAACTCTTAAAATATCCTCTTTTATCTTCAACAGAAATAAGGAACGTAAGCCAAATAAATTTGGCCTTTAAGGTGCTGTGTGTTGTCAAATTAGGGTGCTTTCACACCTGTGAATCGATTTATTTGTTCCGAAACAGGGATTAAAATTGTTACAATGTTGCATTTTGTTCTTGGTGCCGTTTGCTTTCATACGGCAAAGTTTCTAAACGGACCAAAAGAGCTAAAACAAGTCACAGGTGAGGAAACTGTCCTCACATTGGTCAGAGTTTCACGGTTTATTTTGCAGAGTCCCCTCTCAGTGGGGTGGTGGTTTGGTGGTGTTTGGCAGGGTGCATGTGACGTGTCTGAAGAGTGAGGAGGGATGCGGTGGGGAGGGGTGAGCGACGTATTTGAGGACCGGGAGGGAGACGTGCGATTTCTGGGAGATTATCACACATTTGCGGGCGTCCAGGAGTCTCTGTGCATTTGTGGATACCTCCCGGAACTTCCCACCCTACTCATCATTCTTCATATAGCCGTATGCCTATTACATATCCATAAACACTTGTGATATAGCCGGGTTTGAATTGTATTGCTTTCTCACTACAATCGATCCGCTCCAGAGTTCGTTTTAATGGAGCCGAGACCACCCCATTCAGGCGATCTCAGACCGTTTGATTTGGCGCAAATCCGAGCATGATTGCTGGATTCAAATATGCCAAACAAACCACGCTAACTGTGCAAACGAGACTAGTTCCGAAACAAAAGTTTAGGTGTGAAAGCACCCTTAGTGTATTTGTTTTGAAATGGCATTTTAAATATGGAGTGCCCCTAATCCAAAACCTGTTTTAAAAAGTTTGCATTTCAATCTGTCTTTACTGAAATGGAACACCAGAGATTTCAAATGAAAATGGGGTCATCTCTTTTTAAAACCCTCTTCACGGGTTGAAGATGTCCAAGTAGTCTGGATGCCTGGCACAAGTCGCCAACCAACTGTGCACTGTAATTTTCTTACATTGTAAATTTTTTTTTTTTTTTTTTTGCTAATTTTACATACCATACTCTGTAAATCTGACAAATATGGCATCTAGGTGAACTGGATATAGCGTAACATGGTCTGAAATCAAGGATTTACTAATTGCGTGTCTAAGTTCTAACCTTCGTCATCTGTTTTGTTAAAATAAAGGTACCTCTTCTAGCATATTCAAAATTTTGCCTGATGCAGATAATTAAATGCTCAGGTCAACTTTTTTTTTTCTGTCCAGCTCTCCGAGAAAGAAATGAGCATGCTTGAAGAGAGAATCAAACGTTCGGCCAAGAAGACTCCAGCACCCTCAACCAAACAGGAGCGGCCCCAGAGGGAGCATCCCACAAATCCCAATGCAACCTTTCTACGCAAGCCTGCTCAAGAGGAAGTGCCCAACAAGCTTAAGTATGTACTGATTAGTTCATTCAAATCATGCGCTCTGAAAAGACATCTTTAGCAATTTATTAGAAGGCATTCTTTTCACATGTTCCATTTACTATATTAATTACAATTAATTACATCAATACAGTAAGCACATTTAGTTAATGTTATTCAGTAGTAAAATGAAAAGTTACACTATAACAAAGTCCTTAAAGTATAACCAAAAATACCTTTACAATGCAAGTTCTGGTCCATGTAATACTTTCTTTACGCGCAAATTCTTATTCTGTCTCGTTCTTTCCTCTTGTGTCGATGCATGTTGTTTCTTAATCCTAAGTCTTTCTCTTCTCCTCTCTACTATTCCTTTCTTTTCTTGGCTGCTCTCCATGGACAGAATAATGTATCGCACTTACAGGATGTAAGTACTGCCGTACTGCTCACAAGGCACCTGACATCCTGGAGGGCTAGGGATCACAATGAAATATTAGAGATTATTAGATTGTACGGCTGATTGTGATGTCATATGAAATCATTCAAGATCATTTTTTACATAATTGGAGGTTTAAAAGAACAGTTTTGTTTGAAGTGGTAAGGTTGAAAAATGCCTTGGCTAGAAAAAAAAAATCAGTGTATCGTTGTTCATTTTAATGTATAAAAAAACAAGCAAGTTCAAGCTTTTTTCTGTTGAGTTATATTATATTAAATCTATCTACAATTAATCAATATCACCATTTTAAATATTACTTTCATATACTTGTTGTTGGAAGTGATTTATTTTAGTTCCCTTCTACTGATAATGAACAAGAATTCAGTCTTACTCATGTTCATGGCTGCTCTGTAAATAAGAGTATTGTAATGCTGTTATATGAACATAATTAATATTTTTATGTGTCCATTTTCAACAGTCAAGCTCGGCAGCAGAACGCTCACTTGGAGCAGTCGGCTCCATCCATCCCGAAAGAGTTTCAGCTGGATCTGGATGTCTTCGAGAACAACCACACGTGTGCCAGCGACATCCCTGACCTGGTGCAGCACAAACTGGATGAAGTTCTGGAGCCGGTCATGATTCCTGAGCGCAAGTATGAGTTCAGCACAACACAGCTAAATGGATTGTATGCTGAAATACTTCAGCATAGTCAATGCAATAGTGTATTGCTGCTGTTAAAGGAATTAAATATGTGTTTCTGCTGTTTTCAGAATTCATTCGGTCTCTCCTCATTTTGATGACATTCACAATAGCACTGCCTCCACTATCAACTTTGTCATCTCCCAGGTGGCTAGTGGAGACATTAACACCAGTATCCAGGCTTTGGCACAGGTGGGTTTAATTCCAACTCCCTCTTCATTGGATTTTAGTAATAAACAATTAACGTTTTAAGCAACAAGTGCTTTTTTTTATGTTTTTGCTCCCTGGCAATTTGTCTGCCACAGCTATTGATGGGTGATGTGGCAAAATAATAATAAATGCCTTCAACGTAAAAATGAAAGTAAAACATTTTCTTATAGTTGTTTAAAAAACATGTATTAGATTAGTCTTATTTCACAAGTGAATTTGTTTCACATTTCTACAGCTGTTTACTTCACTTGTGCACTTGGAATATGTTTGAGGCAAGATGCTTTCAAAATAGGGCTGGAAAAATCTAGCATTGCAATTATTATTTATTTATTTTGCAATGTATATTGCGATATAAATCCAATTTCACCAGTAAGGCTGCATTTACACTGCAGATCTTGATGGTCAATTCCGATTTTGTGACTTTATCCGATGTTTTGATGACCTGTTTACATCATCTTTTATAAGCGACTCGTATTCGATTGTCTGCATTTTAACAGCAAAGGTGCAATGACAAGGGGGGGGGGGGAAGGGGGCGCTGACTAACAGCAGATAATTAAAGAGTGCTCTTTTCTCCATTGCTGTATGTAATCTGTTTGCAAGCTGTTTTACTATAGTTTGACAAAAAGGTTCTCATTTGTTCATCTTTTGCTATATAGGCTTTTTTTTAAACCTTTAGGCATCTTAATGTAGTGTCCATGGCATGATTTATTCATGTGATGTTGCTGAGCACTAGTTTTATATTAGTTTATATTGGTTACGTGGCGGACATTGCACTCTCTCGCTCTCGCTAACATGCTTAAATACTTGTGCTATATTACAATATAAAAGCTATGACAGTCCTCGTGTATGAGATTTAAGGTTTAGGACAGTGCTGAAGTCTGTTCTAAAATTAAAGTGTCAGACTTGACATTATTCGCTCTAGTTTTTAATGACGCACGACTTGCGTTGACAGGTGAAAATTCGATCTACCTGCTTACACTGCAGACACGAGAACACAGATCCGATTCATATCGAATAAATTTCCACATATGAACAAGGCCTGAATCTGATTTGAGTAAATCGGAATCCATGTGATTTGTTCCTGCTTACACGTACATGAGCCATATCCGATCTGTGCCACATGGGAGAAAAAAATCGGAATTAAGTCACTTGAACTGTGCAAGGTAAATGTGGCCTAACTTAATACCTATATGTGGAAATAATTTATAAAGTTAAATCGGTTGGGATGACTCTGCAGTGGGAGTGCATCTCCATAAAATCTAATAAAGAATCTATAAACTTTTTGGGGTCAGCTGACACATTTTTTTTGTTGTGGTCTGTGCTATTTGCAGTGCATTTCTGTATTTGCATGTGTTGTGAGTGTTTTTGTGCACAACAGTCTTTATTTCAATTGCATCTTTTTTTAATTGCATTTAGTTTTTTATCGTTTTCCAAGTCTAACAGTATTCAAGTACAGTAACAACGATTCCTTTTTATTGAATTATTTTAATCATTCAGTTAAAGTCACAAATGGTGCATTTTTTTTTTCTTATACCTGAACCTGAAAAACACATGCAACTGATGAATTATAGTACAAACTCAACATTGCATATCCAGCGATGTGACTTGTGAAGGATCACATTGCGATATAGATGCATAAATAATATATTGTGCAGCTCCGTTTTAAAATATGAAGGCAATTATAGAACACGCTTGTCTAGTCACAATTAATTACTTTTACATAAGTGTAATTATTCCTTTAAACGTAGTATAAATCTTGTTATACTTTAGACAATAGGGGTGTCAATTGTTTCTTCGGTGCACTGCGATGCAGATGCAGACAATTTGGTATCGTTCATTTACACATCTTAACCGGTTATGTACTGACGTCATTTATCTCATATGAGCTATGTTGTGGTAGAATACTATGGCGAGGGAGGCGACACTTATCGGTGAACAGAGCTAACGTATTAGAGTCAATCGCGCCCTTTTCTGTTGTACGCGTGACCTGTCATAGCTCAAAACCAAGCAGGATAATATTTACGTTTGTTAATTTGCTTTAAATGTTCTTGTTCTTTGCATGTACTTGAGTTTAGTTTGGTGTATTGTTTTCTTTGAGCAGGTCAAGTTAAAGGTACAGTACAAATCTGAATGCTTGTATTAAAGGACATTTTTTATTACAAATACATATAAAATGTATTTGACAATTATACATTATAATACAACAGTTTTTGTGCTGTAAAGTAAAATATAAATATGTGTATAGAAGGCACCGTCAATGCACCATGATGCACTGAGATATTGAATTGAACCGAATCAATGGCATGATAATCATTACTGAACTGTGAGACCAGTATAGGTTCACACATCAACTTGACAAAATCAAAGAATAAACTTGTCTGACAAGCAAAATTAATGAAGTAACTGGAACTTGTGCACTTGGAATATGTTTGAGGAAAGATGCTTTTGAAAATATTAAGGCAAATCTAGAAAAAAACTTGTCTGAACCATATGTATTATTTAAAGTGGTAATAGGTCAGTCAAAAGTAACATGTAGTAGAATATATGTGAAAACCAGTAGTAAGCTTTTATTTACAGTAAATGTTTTGTTATACGCCAAGAAAATGTCAAGTTAAATTTTTTTTTTTTTGAGTTGTGCATACTGTATTTGAATTTATAAAAAGGTTAAGAATTTTCAATTTACATTTTTGTTTGTTTTTAATAAAATCAAATATTTGATTTTGACAAGGTATTTAGGGGAACAAAATTGATTTTTATATTAATTTAATTATTCTCTATTGCCAAATCCTGATCTACTTCAGGCAAAACCAAAGAACACACTGGTCTGACGAGCAAAATTAGGCCACAACAATGTTTAGTAACTTTCAGCCTTTTCTGAAAGATCACTAGTAAACTTTTCAAACTTCTATTAGTTCTTTTTGTTTAATTACATGTTTTGTTCTCTCAATAACAGCCTTAATGACAATACACAGGGTTTATACGGTCATGCAAAACCTGAAAAAGTCATGGAATTTTGACATTGCATTTTCCAGCCCTGGGAAAGTTTTGGAAAAACAGTAAAACCCACAAAATTTTGGAAAAGTCATGGAAAACGTACATGTATACTTGAATCTAACACCGGCCCAGTAAATTTTCCATGTACATTTCACCACTCGTCTCCTGGGATCCCTAGGTCTAAAGTGCCACCCTTATGCTGGTGACAATCAGATATACATTCACACCAAACCTTGTGATATTTCAGCTGTTACACATTTGAAAGACTGTATTTTAGAGATCAAAAAAAATGGATGTCCCAATTTTTGGTGCCTGATTACTAATGAAAGGTTATGCTCATTTGGTTATGTTGATTTGATTCTTCCAACCAGCTAAGTAAAACTAAACCTCTTATCATTAACCTAGATGGTTCGGCTGTCGAGGTCCAGGCCAAACTTAGGGATAATATTTGACCAAAGTCTAACATTTGACCTCCACGTACTGTCCAATGTAAAGACTTTTTTAACATTATTTTTTTGTTTTTCATCTCAAAAAACATTTCACGAATCCGCCCCATGCTGTCCTCTGTGGCAGAAAAACAGATCAATACTTTCATTTTTTTCTTTGACCATTGCAATGCCTTACTGGCTGGTGTTTCCAAAAGTAACATCAATAAACTACAATATGTCAAACTAAACACTCTTTGGGTGACCGTGCTTTCGCATCTCTGGCTCCGAGGCTCTGGAACTCTCTCCCCCATGACGTTAGACACGCTGAATCTATTAAATTGTTTAAATCATCCTTTAACTTAATACTTTTACACTTGCCTATTCATGAGGTGGGCATTTTTGCTTTGTTTCTAGATACTTAAATGTTTTTTCAATTTTGAATGCTTTAGCAATTGTGAATGCTTGTTTTAGTCTGAATGATTCAATACTATTATGCTAAACCTTTTTATATCCGTGTCTTTTTTTGTGTAAAGCGCTTTGAGAATTAATGTTTTAAAAGCGCTATATAAGAATAAACTATTATTATTATTATTATTATTATTATTATTATTATTGAATATAATTTAGTTGTCTTGACTTCTATTCTGTCCTTCGCCAATCACATACTCGCATAATTAAAATATAAATTTGGTGGCGCAGTGGGTAGCATGTTCGCCTCACAGCAAGAAAGTCGCTGGTTCGATCCTTGGCTGGGTCAGTTGGCATTTCTGAGTTTGCATGTTCTCTTTGTGTTAACGTTTGTTTCCTTCGGGTGCTCCGGTTTCCAAGTCCAAAGACATGCAGTTTAGGGGAATTGTGTAAGCTATATTGTCCGTAGTGTATGCGTGTATTGCCCTTCCGTTTTACAGTGATGTGTTGCAGCTGGGTTTCAAACTTAATTCGTGGAGGGCTGAAGCCCTGCACAGTTTAGTTCCAACCCTGCTCCAACACACTTACCTGTAGGTTTCGAACAAGCCTGAAGGACTCAAATAGTTTGATCAGCTGTGTTTAATTAGGGTTGAAACTAAACTGTGCAGAGCTGAGTTTTGGAACTGAGTTTGACACCTGTGATGTAAAACATATTCTGGATAAGTTGGCGGTTCATTCCACTGTGTTAACCCCTGATTAATAAGGGGACTAAGCTGAAGAGAATGAATGAATGAAATATAAATTTAAACTTAAGAGATTGTTGCGTGTTTAACGATATGGGAATAAATTTCAACATGCATTGGGGTTTTTTGCCACGTATGTAGACATTGCATGAAACAATATGAGATTTTAGTCGTAAAAGTTTGTATGAACCCTGAATACAGTTAATTATCATTTTAGTTTTATTGAGAGAGCACAACAAGTTTACATTGATCAAAACCTGTTTGTACCTTGGGTTGAGTCCTTTCACCGTGCTCTATGCTTTTCATCTTAAACCTAAACAAGAATTAGCATTTTTATTTATTTTTTTGCAGATTGATGAGGTTTTGAGGCAGGCAGACAAAGCAGAAGCCATGTCTGGACACATCGACCAGTTCCTCATCGCCACCTTCATGCAGCTGCGGCTTATTTACAACACACACATGGCTGACGATCGGCTGGACAAGAAGGAAATCTTCAAACTCTACAGTTGCATCATCGGAAACATGCTATCTGTACGTTTCTCAACACGTCTGCCATTGTGTTGCCATAAACACAACGCCATTTGTTTGTCAAATCAAATTAAAATGCAGCAAGCAAACAAAAGTGATCATTATGTAGCATGCTGAGTCACTGTTTGTGCGTTTTCAGCTGTTCTCGATGGAGAGTCTGGCACGGGAGGCCTCGATGGGCGTCCTGAAGGACCTGATGCACGGTTTGATCACACTAATGTTGGACTCCAGAGTGGAGGACATAGAGGACGGACAGCAGCTCATTCGCTCTGTCAACCTGCTCATGGTTCGAGTGCTAGAGAAATCTGATCAGACCAACATTTTGAGGTTAGCCACTGATTTCATGTCCTGGAATTTTAGATTGTGTGTACTGTGGTGTACAAACCTGGCCAGCACTGCAGACTGCAGTTTAAAGGTCATTTGTTTTTTTCCAGTGCTTTGCTAGTGCTGCTGCAGGACAGTCTTATCAGCACCGCCGGCTCACCCATGTTCTCTGAACTTGTCATGAAGGTATGATTAGTCAACATGCATGTTTGGGTGCACGTTTTCACCATGTCCTAATGTAAGAAGCACTTGTTTGTTTGGTTTTTGGCTCCATGTGACTTTTTAAATTCAATTAAACTTGGGCCATATAATATGTTCATATTAATTAATATGCATAATTCCACTCACACACCCAGAAAGTTGTTTCAGATTTAGAGATTTTTCTGTCATAGCATGTGCTTTTAAATCGTACATCATTCACTTAAAGGTGCAGTAGGTGATTGTCTTCAGAAGCATTTTTTGATGTGCTGGTTGAAAGTCTCTTCACAGTCTAATAGTAATGATTAAAGTAAATGATCTAAATGTATTTATGTATTTTTATGTTTTGGGTAAGGCATAAAAAAAAAAAAACGTTCATCCAATTAAATAGAGTCGGGCCGACATCTCTCATAATTCCGCTAAGTAGGCCAAACTGTCTATCAGCAAATGCAGATTTGAACAACTGCGCAGCCATTTGTACGCATCTCCGCCGACCACCGCACGTTCACGAAAGAGAGCACGCGCGATCGCAATCAGTAAAAACATGCTGAATCAAAACTTTTTAAAAACCTCAATCAATATTGGAGTTACCTTTGCACGCTGAGAAAGGATGACGCCATGTCTGAAGGATTTCTCTTAGACGGGTAATGTTCTGTTTTAAAGAGCCCATATTATACATGAAATAGGGTCATATTTTGGTTGTAAGGGTCTCCATGGTCTTATAATCTGCATTTACTTTTACCTAATTATCCCAGCGACTCCCGTATGAATCGTCCAGTGATTCATTTGTTCCCAAACCCCTCCTTAGTGCGAAGCTAATCTGCGCTGATTGGACCGATGACAGTCTGTTGCGATTGGTCGACTGCCTTCAGTGAGAGACGGAGTGAAATGCCCAAAAGCTAATCAGCAATATAAAAGTAATCACAGTTCATACACGCTCAATAGTGTAGGTGTGGATTTTAGCTGCTAGTGGGTCAATGTAAATACAGACTATGGACTTGAAAATACAGATGACTAACTACTTTATTGAGCAAAAACTCCAAAAACTGTTGAGGAGATCTTCTAGCTTGTCTCACTCTGCTCTTTTCACAGACACACACACACACACACACACACACACACACACATATTGCCCTCGTCCTTGCGCGAGCGCGCACACACACAAACACACACTTAACCCTCCTCCGGACGACAACGCGCGCGCATACACAAACACACCTCCGGACGACAGCGCACACACACACTAACCTCCTCCACGGAGCTCCGTAAACAAAGCAGCACGCGACGCGTTTTTAATTGTGCTTTGCACGCGATATGAGAATAAAGCGAGGTAACCTCATACAGTACACGCGGTTACAGGTAACAAATCACAACTAAATACATTTGCAAGCTAGAGTAAACGAGGCAACAACTTTAATCGCACATACTTACATTTGAGAAATGGAGGAAGAAACCCATCCTGACATATCCATCAGTAAGTTACTCTTTACTGATACTTCCTTTAACAAACTCCGATGAAGTATTCTTTGTAGCATGAAGTTTCCAGTAGTTTCCAACTGTTCAAGGCATGGGAGGTTTCATCTTTGGGTAGAGACTCAATAATATCCATCTGCAGTGTGACTTCAATCGACCGGCATGTTTGTGTGTGTTTGTGGGTGTGTGTGTCTGGGTTTCTGTGTTAGAGGGCGGGGCCGCAGGTATCAAAACACCCAGGTTTGCGCGTGAATAACTTGTTTTCGTTAGTACGTCATGGCGAAACACCTAATGACTCGTTATCAAGGCGACTCGTTTGAAGCACTGAGTGGACTCTTTTATAGATGAATCAACAGTTTTAAACACTATACACTTACAGATTTAAGCCTTAGCTGGATACTTCAGTTCACTTAGAGCTGTGTTACACACTACATGGAAGGGCATTTTCAAAAACCCATAATATGGGCTCTTTAAAACTATTTTAGCTTCACGCAAAGCTGATTTAATGTTAGATGCTGTCGTTACAAATGGGTTATAACTTCACAGAAGTGTTTTTCAGCCACTAAAATCTTTTGATGAAAGATTGATATGACTATTTTCAGTTTTATAAGGGACCTTTTACTGCATCGATAATGTAGATTTTAATTAGTTCAACAACAAAACACAAGTAAAAACATAAAAGCTATTCCGCCTAGTCTCTCCCTATATTGTTTACCATGCAACTCTAAATATTTGCTCTGAAATAGCATGTCAGTTTGGCTTGCATGCCGCCGGACAAGCACTAGCCACTTTTAACACATGAGAGAGTTCTTTTGCGGTGCTCGTGTTTCAGGAGGTGTGGCTCTAGACTGCAGGGGAGGGACTGTGATTCAGAGATTTATGCTAAGCTGTTAGCATGTGGAAGATCACCTACTGCACCTTTAACATCAGTTATCTTAATTAATTTTTTTTAAAGTGTTAAATAAGTTTTAAAATTGAACTTATTATTGCATTTTGAACAGCTGACTCTTGATATTTACAAACCAAATTTACTGCAACTCTAAGTTATAGTGACCAACCAACAGTCAAAGACATTTTATTAGCTGGTCATCTTTTGTTTTTTAAAGTCATGTACTGTATTTAACACTTTAAATTGGGTTGAGAATTCAGAAAAATGACCATTCAATAGTTTTAAAACAACTTTGAAGGTTTTGATAGACTACTATAGAATAAAATTATCCAATATAATATTTTTGCGCCGAAAAATTGAGTTTTATAAAAAACACAAACTTTGATTTTTAGTAGTCTCCAAGTAATTGAAGAGTAGCTGAAATGTTTTACTTTCCAAGGCAAAATTTTTTTTGTTACTTTATACTGAATTTCAATTATTAAGGTTACTTTTTCCATCGCAGCATAAATCAGTTTATTAAGTCTTGCTTCTAAATTCTCTCCAAACATCAAACATCAACTTCTCTGTCTTACTCAGTGTCTATGGAGAATGATCCGTTTCCTACCCCAGACCATCAACAGTATTAATCTGGATCGTATCCTGCTGGACGTGCACAATTTCATGAAGGTTTTCCCTAAAGAGAAGCTGAAGCAACTGAAGAGTGACGTTCCTCATCGGACACTGAAGACACTGCTGCACACGCTCTGCAGACTCACAGGCGCCAAGGTACAACTTTCATTTGCAGAGCTTACAGTACACCGTTTATCTTCGTTTCCACTATCAGAAGCACCAAAAGAGTGAACCGTACGAACCAAACTGTTTTTGTTTGGTAGGGTAGAGATGCACTGAATGCTGATTGCTTTACAGAGAGTCATCACTTGAGCGTAAAACAAGCCAGGTGAACAACAACATAGGAAATGCAATTTTTAGACAGTCGAAAAATTCCAAAATAATGCAATGACTGCGCATGGCAATTAACCGCAAACAATGCTTGTTGTATTCTTTGGACAGTCACATTCCAAGAAGCAAGGGCAGGATCTGCTGTGTGTCCTCCATTGTTGTTTAAGGGATGGTTCATGTTGCAACAACACATGCAAAGCACCAGGGTTGACATTTCCTTAATCAAAATGAGACGTTTTGTTGCTAAAATATGGAAACTGTTGTTTCATTCCGAATGAGATGATTGTTTGCTTTGAATAGTTAGTCTGAGAAACATTGGCGTCCGTTAGATCCTTTCAGAGGTGTACCTAGCTCAGACAGGTCAACTGTACTTGGATGATGGAAGTTTTTAGCGGTGCTTTAGACTGAGCCATGCACAGTTTGGTGAGCTGCTGTCGGCATAAGGATTTCCCCCTCGGAACACCAACAACAGGCGCTAAATCATAATCACGCCTTTACTAGAGCAAGCTCCTTATTGGGTAACATGGTGCAAATGTCTGCTAAAGTTTAGATTTTGCAACTTGAGCGATTTGAGCAAATAAAAGCCCCACGAATTATGCACGTTTGACAAATTGCATCGTTCGCGCTGCCTCATTCGCGCAAATAGCACAGCAGGATGTCTATTTACGTCTTTGCATTGACTTAACACAGGAGTCACCACTCTCGGTCCTGGAGGGCCAGTGTCCCTGCAGGGTTTAGCTCCAACTTGCCTCAACACACCTGCCTGAATGATTCAAGTATACCTAGTAAGACTTTGATTAGCTTGTTCAGGTGCGTTTGACTAGGGTTGGAGCTAAAATCTGCAGGACACCGGCCCTCCAGGAACTAGTTTGGTGACCACAGACTTAACATGTAAATCACTCACACTTGATGCTTTATAATTTAAATTCTCATTTTTAAATGAACTTGAGCAATGCAAGTAGCTTGAAACTTTTCAACCCTGCAAATGTCTGAAAGCCAATGTTTATGTCTCAGATATTAGACCACCTGTCCATGATCGAGAACCGCAATGAGTCAGAGTTGGAAGCGCATCTGAGGCGAGTGGTCAAACATTCGGCAAACCTCTCAGGCCTGAAGTCGGACAAGGGCACGGAGAAGGGAGCACTCCGATCGGTATGAGCTCATATCAAACACTCATCCCGGCTCTTTGAGGAAAGCATACCGGTTGACCTGGTTTTCTCAACTGCATTTCAATTTGTACAGGATGACAAGATGATCAAGGCGAAAGTGAGTGACATCCTGTCTGAGATCTTCAAAAAGATCGGCTCCAAGGAAAACACAAAAGAGGTAACACTACAACTTCTGGATATTTAGCAGTCTTAAGACTTTTTCACACCTGTGAAACTGAATGTTTTAAAAATGATCAAAGCCTGTTTTATTTAGGACACACTGGTATTATGGTATATATTTACAGAAATGCAAACTGTTGCATGGCTTTCCACAATCTGTGTCTTACTGGCAAGGACAAGGAGTGTTTTTATGCTAAAATGTTGTTTTAAAGGGGGGGAAAAAGCACTGGTGTAAACCGCACCAAAGAACCACAAGTATTTTAAAAGTTAAGCTGTAAGTGTTAATAGATAGTGACATCAATAAGTGTTTTTGATTTGTCTGTAATAGTATCAACAATGTCTGTACAATATTAAAAAAATTACATTTAGTATCTGACATCATGAATAAAGTATTAGAGAATATATAGAGAAGTAAAAGTGCTAGTAGAAAACAGAATATTATTTGTGCTAACATTTACTAGTATGCATGTTTTTTTTGTGTGTTTTTTTGTTTTTTGGTACATAGTATTGTATAAATTACTGTTCAATATAGTAGTAATATTCAAAATAAAAAATGGAACTGGAAGTTATACAGGGTAACCGCAGGGTCTTAAATCTCAAAAGTTGATTTTAAGTCTACTGAAATATAGTGTTGTAGGTCTTTTTTTTATTCATTTTTAACAATCTTTTTTGTTTGTTCGTGTATAGCTACCCAACCTGTCAAAATTGTGACTTCCACACAGTAGTTCCATGAATTCATTATATTTAAAAATATTTTAAGTGTCGAAATGAAAAACTAGCATGTAAAAAATAGTACTGTATGCAAAATTTGCGTCGTAATACTAGTAACTGTTAATATACTAAAATTACAGGTATTATGCACAAAAGTAAAGATATTAGTATATAAGAAACCATAGTACTGGTATGAAAATGTGGTAAGAGTAGTAATTGCAAACATTTTGTGTATAAAAACGATTTTGTTAACGTCAAATATCAAGAATACGAATATTTTATGTAATTGATTAAATATTAATAAATAAAACAGTTATTTACAGTAATTAAAGATTTGATATTAAAACAACCTGGATTTAGGATTAATACATGCATCAGATAGCAGTTGCATCATCTTGCCTCTCATATGAGAAATATGCGCCATTATGACCTGTCCTCTACATGCTGTTTTATCAGGGTTTGACGGAGTTGTACGAGTACAAGCAGAAGTATTCAGATGCAGACCTGGAGCCCTTCCTAAGGAACACATCTCAGTTCTTTCAGAGCTATGTGGAGCGAGGCCTGCGCATGATCGAGTCTGAGCGTGAGGGAAAGGGCCGCATCCAGACCTCTACAGGTGAAGCACGGCAGACTCTCTCAGTTTAGATGTGTTGTCATTGGCATAAGCTCCGCCCTCATGCTCTAATGTTTGTGCTTTTCAGTGATCGCGCAGCACAGCACGGAGTCATTTGTGCCGAGCTCCAGCTCTGTGCCCGTCAGCAGTAATGGAGAAGATCTAAACGCTGCCGCTTACTACGAGAGACTGAAGATCTTACGACAGCGGCGCGGGCTGGAGAACTCAGCGGTTCGTCTCTCATTCATACAAGCTGAACATGCAAAATGAGCTAAACAGTGCTACTTTTTTTATAGATTTTGCTTTGTGGCACACAGCTTAAATGTACTATTTGTTGCTAGTTTGTTATTTTGGATATCTTTGCATCTTTTTTTTGTTTTTAATGAATCGTTTATTAGTTGCATTTTAATCCAGTTAAGTCCACTTTAAGATTTAAGTGTTTTATTAACAAATATTAAAGCCAAATCCCAATTCTATTTTTGTACCCCTAACCTTTCCCCTTCCCCATTGGCCCTTGAAACACAGTGTGAAGGGGAATGGCTTCAAAATAATTTTTTCAAAGAAATAGGACGGCACTACACCTGCACATGTCATTGTGAGCTCGTACTTCATATGAGATCAGATGATCGACTGCTGTAGTTATTCTAGTTGTGTTATTTTCTGGTATTTATCTTCAGGAAATCACTGACGGCATATATCATGTTATCATAACAGTATAATGTGGCAAGATTGGAACTGTACTGTGCAATTACACCCTGGCCATATTCATCTATGTAAACGCAAGAAAACAACATTAACATGATGGCAGACACTGTAAAAATCTCATTCCCAGCCATTAGACTTCTCTAACAGGGTATTCAAGTGTTAGATGTGGAAATCTGTTCAGGGACTACTATACAGGAGATATTATTATGGATTATAGATAGCTAAATTAAGCAGGTTGTATTTTCGATTTTTTATTATTATTTTAATTAATGAATGTCATTGTGAATGCATTAACGTGTTTGTTGTAAAAATTTGTAATGATGACAAAAAAAAACTAATTTGTGCATCTCCCTCCATGAGCTGCCCTGCTGCTGTTGTAGATGGTGTATTCTGGGAAATTTTCTTTTCCCCTGGTTTTGAGTGTGGTCCTGAAAAATCTCAGTTTCAAGGGCTGTTTAGCTCTTCCCCCTAGTGGTACGCCTTTAAATTAAGATAATTGGAACACCCCTACCCTTTTACATAAACACACAAAACAAGGGGTAGCATTAAGGTAAAGGGCTAAGAAGTAGAATTGGGATTGGGTCTAAACCGAAGTTTTTTTTTTTTTTTTTTTTTTTTTTTTTTTTTTTCTCCGTAATGGTGTCAAAGTTGCATTTTATGCATTAACCACTGTTTATCAACAACTTTCTAAGGTGTATAAAGAAGAGCAATAATAGTAGTTTTATTAAGTTTTATTAACTCATTGATTTATATTTGATAACTATCTAAATGGTGCTTATGTTAACTTTTACCAAGATCAATACATTAATTTTATTTATTTTTTATTTTAATTTTATTGTAACTTGTACATTTTAGTCTGTTATAAAAAATATATAAATGCATCAATAAGAAATCGCGTTTGATTCATAATGCAAAAATATTAACTGAATTATTGTTTTTTTAAACACCTCAGATTAAATATTAATGCACATCAATAGGAACTGATTCTATTTAAAACAAGCATTTGTATTATTATTTAATATTATCTTTCATTAACAGATATTTTAAAGAATTTAATCCACTAAAGTACTTTTGAAATAACATTTTTGTTTTACGTTGTTAAAGTTGCATGCAATTTAGAACTATAAATTTAATAGCTATTTATTTTTAGCATTGAATATGGAAATACTAATAAAAAATGTTTTTAATTTTTACTTTTTCATTTGTTGCCTAATTGTCAGTATGAAATATTTAGCTAGATATAACAATCAATACTTTATTGTTATTATTATAATTATTATTAATCTTAATGATAGTTTTTGATAACTAAATCAATCTATGATAAAGTAAAATAGGGTTGTAAATATTCTCTCTCTGTCGTCTTGCAGCCTGAAGATGAGCGTCCACCCCTCAGCTCCCTGAGACCGTCAGTCGCCTCCTCCACAGACATGCTTCACAGCAAACTATCCCAGCTGAAGGAGTCCCGCGAGCACTTCCAGCAGGAGCAGTCGCATTCGCATAGCCCCACGCGCTCCTCCTCACCCGCCTCCAACCTGGACGACCTCAAGAAGAGGCTGGAGAGGATCAAGAGCAACCGCCAGTAGGTCCACTCCATCCAAAAAAAAAAACACATCCCACTGTTTCTTCAGGGTAAGCGCATACATAGGTTACGGTTATGCGAAATAGGATGTGTGAAATAAAAACTAATAAATAACTCAGTCCGTCTACATTGTATAATACTAAGTCAGCATTTCCTGTATGTTAGTATTGTGCACAGTTGTTTTTTGTACATACGGTGGCTAACACCACGCTTTTACGTGTCATTTAGGGTTTTCCGTGTACAGTTTTTCTTGTGCAGAATGCTGTAATAAGTGTAACTGAAGCTCGTTTGTTTTTTTTTAATAGACATTTTAGAGAAATCTAAATTAATGTCACTCTCACTCAACTCTCAACTTCTCTCTGTTCAACATGGTTCGCCAGATTTGCTGTTTTCTTTCTGCCTTTACTCTCTAACTCTCTCATAACTTTTTGTGAAGGATCGATTCCTTTCTTTTAAGGAGCATGGCATGAAGTACTGGATCTTTCTTTTTCTGTAAATAAAGTTTGCATTATTAAAGGCTGTTAATTTTTAGTTTTTCTTTTGAATAATATTTCCAGCATTCTGAAGTGGAATGTTGGTCATCGACGCGTTTTGTTTTTGTATCATCGGACTGGGATTAGTGTTGAAGTGTTGCGATTAGGTTTTACGTGTATAATCTATAGTGAACATGGCAATAAAGACTTTTTTAATATAATTTAACAAACTATACACTGATGTTTTGAATGTGTACTTTCTAGGGAGCTCTGCGGTGCAAAAATGACCAAGTCTAGTGTACGATTGCATATGTTTTCTATTGTTCTCATACAGAGTTGTCAAAATCTGCCAAATCCATAATTACATATGTCAATCTGATCAATTATGCAATGAAAACATTTATTTGGGTCATATGTTAGAGCAAGGTGTGTCCAAACTTGGTCCTGGGGGGCCGATGTCCTGGAGAGTTTAGTTCCAACCCTAACCAAACACACCTGAACCAGCTAATCAAGCTCTTACTATATATGCTAGAAACTTTCTGGCAGATGTGTTTAAGCCAGTTGGAGCTAAACTCAGCAGGACCCCGGCCCTCCAGGACTGAGTTTGGACACCCCTGTGTTAGAGTAATAGATGTTACATAATGCTGTCTCCAGATTTCAATGCAAGTACTCATCTTGAATCAAGAGTCCGTAGCCAACTTTGGATGTCTTTTTAGTGTCTCTTCCAGTGCCAGATATCTCTGAGGCGCTCTCTCTTTCTGTCTAGAAAAAGACACATTTACTGATCAGTTCTAAAGCAAAAATGTACAAGCTTATTTAAATTTAAAGCAAAACTGTACATTATCATCAGTTAGCATTAACCTTTTGACAAAGTTAATCTAAAAAATATCTTGTCATAAGAGGTGCCCAAACCCAATCGTGGAGGTCTGGTGTACTTCATATTTATTTCCAACCCCAGTTAAACACACCTAATCTTGCTAATTACGCTCTTTCTGGGTATACTAGAAACTCCCAGGCAGAGGTGTTGAAGGAAATTAGAGGCAAACTATGCAGGACACTATCCAGGCCTTCCAGGACAGAGTTTGGGCACCCATCATAAATGCATTGATCAGTAATTCAACGCTTACCGACTAAGTCTCAGTTTGAGAACATGGATCCTGAACATGGCTTCAGAGCAGTATTTGAAGTAGTCTTCCTCGTCTTCTGTGCTCATAGTGAGCTGGTTCTTCTGGTACCACAGCTGTTTCTTCTGTAGCTCTTCTGTCTCCTGAACAAGAAAAAGTTGAGGTTATTCTGCCCCTTTTGCCAGCAAGAAGTAAACTTATCAAGTACTATTGGGCCGAATCATCATAATCAACATTTTGATGTCTTGTTGGCACCCTGCTGTGACAGATCCTTCAAGACGCCTTCGAAGTCCATACTTTTTTGTTGGTTGTCTACGTGCTCTTGCAAAATATTTGGAACGAGATTCCACAAGACCTTTAGGTTGCAGGTAGACGGAATGTAATTTAAACTTGATGGTCCAGCACATCCCACAGATGCACAACTGGATTGGGATGTGGGGAATTTGGAGGCCCAGACTACCTTTGAATTTACCATGTTTTTCAAACCATTTCTAACCTATCCATGCAATGTGAGACTGTTGTCTGATTTCAGAAAGATGATCTACCCTGTGTTCACTGGAGGAAGTGTCTGAAAACAGACATTCTCAACCTTGTCCCCCAACAATGCACTTATTTATTTGTCTTAATCAAATGAACTTAAACCAAGTCAACTCTGTTTACCCTGATCTACCAAGACCATGTTAGATGATCAATGAGATCTAGCCAATATTTGGCTTAGAGTATATTCCATTAAAGGGACACCACATGTAAAAATCTAAGTCAGTAAAATTGTGTTTTGCCTTCTATTTTTAAACTTTATAGTTTTTTTTTATACCATTTATGTACTTTGTAAGCCAGAGGTGGCCATATTTGGCGGCTTGTACCATGAAGCTGAATTAGCTGCCTAGCTAGTTAAATTTTCAGTGTAGTTTGCACCAATCTTTGGTTTTATTGTAACAAATAGACGGCTGAACTTTAATCACTCTTCGTCATGGTATTATGGAGCAGCTGAGCCAACCTCATGGTATGTTAAACCCAGAATTTGTGCAAACAGGCCCCTGATACTAGAGGGCCCTTATGAGGACCCACCTCCCTGCAAACTTTGAATAAGGTCTATTAAATTAGACAGACATGCAGATTATCAACTCGTTAACTCCATGAACTGAACAATGTGCACCAAAAACTCATGCAAGGTGGTGCGTTCCCAGAAATAGGAAAATTTTTTTCTTTAATTTCTAATCAAACATCTCATCTAATTTTAATCCGCCTATCTGGGACGGGGGTAGCAGTCTTAAGGCCCGTTCACACCGATACGTTTTTTGCTTGCGTTTTCTGTCGACGTTTAACGCCTCGTGACTAAATAAAGGGCGTCAATGTGATCGTGCACACCAACGCGCGAAACGTCAGGCGCAAAAGCGTAATTTAAAAAAATAAATAAATGCCTCATGCCTGTTTTTTTTTTTTTTTTGATGCGCTGCGTCAAAACCCTCTTCACCAATCAGGTTGGCTTTTTTGTTCACGTGCACGGAGCTGCTGAAGTTACTGTAAACAGCACTTGGAGGCGCTCAAGCGCAAAACTGTCAATACGAGCGCACGTTGAAGAAGATGCCCCGAGGCGATATGAACAAGCTGGAGCTGCTGCTTGAACCATCCATGCTTGTTCAAGTCACCAGTAACTTTAACAACAAGCTCGTGAACTTCCTCTCTTCCTCTTCTGTGTTATAAACGGGTGTTGGAAGCTAATAGTTGTGTAGCGCCATCTAATGACAAGGAGTGGTTTTGCATACTCTTCTGCTTGACGCCAGGTGTGTTTGGCAAGGGCAGGGGTGACCACATTTGATACTAGAGGGGTAGTGTCCTGCAGTGTTTCGGTCCAACCTTAATCAAACACTGGACAAGCTAATTAAGGTCTTACTAGGAATACGTGAGATTTCCAGACAGGAGCTGAAATCTGCAGGACAGAGGACCTTCAGAACCTATAGAAAGTGGTAAATTGTCTGGGTCAAATGAACATGCCTTTTCGAATCTGCCCTGGATGAGGTTAGCTTTGTTGGCGAGTTGTTGTTTAAATTCTGTCAAACAGTCTCTCTTCAGCTGAAGTGCGTCCTTGAGAGTGAGGGATTCTGTTTGTTCTAGTCGGGCCTGGAAAGGAGCCAAGAGGTCGAGCTCTTTCTCTTTCTGCCGCTTCTGCTTTTCCTTAGCCTTACGTTCCTGAGGAATGACAAGAACCAGGGGTAAGTGATATTATGGGTTAGTTTGACAAAAGCAACTGGCTGATCAAAGCCCTGATTCACCTTTTCCTCCATGTGCCGACGAGCAGTCTCGTTTCTTGTAGTGTTGTAGATGGAGATCAGCAGATCAGTATTACTGTCCTCCTTTTCTCTTGAAGAAAGGATGGACTTGACCTTTAAAAGAAGAAAAAAGATTTAAGTCCTCATAAGAGTCGAGACAAATGTTTTGCCATGCTCGAACTGTAATACCTCTTTTTCTGAATTTCTGATTTGAAGTTCAACATTCTCCTCATCTCTCATCAGTTCCAAAAGAATTTTGTAAAGCTGCAAGTCGTTGTAGGGTTTTGCAAAAGGATCAACCTGAAGATGCAAAATGAACAATCTATTAAACCATTTATAAACTGGGGATTCTCAACGCTGGCCCTTATCACCTTTAACTTCCAAATAATCTTGAAGGCCTTAATAAGGTGTTATTGATAAAGGTTGTAGCTCTGTAGGAAAGGGTCTCCAGGAAAAGGCTTAAAGACCACTCACTCGATTTCAAGGTATTGATGGTACCAATTGAGTTTAGTTTAAATCACACAGTTGACCTGAATATTGTTGGTGAATAAAGGGCCCAAATTGCAAAAAGAAAATATTTACCACCTCTATACACACCATTACCAGTTTGAACTGAATATACAGTTTCTGAAGTGTTGGATTTCAATGCACTAATGTAAGTAGACACACACACAAGATCTATTTGAGTTGCTGCCATGTGACTGATTGAACATATTTCTGTTAAACAGTCTAAAGGGTCTGCATCTATTAATGTCAGGGGAGCATAAATAAAATAAAAAAAATATCTTGATCTTGAACTCAACCAATGAAATTTCTGACCTGAAAGCCAGACACCATCTCAGGAGAAAAATCTTGTCCTTTCTGCGAGTTTGCTGCTGCTTTTGGTTTGATGAAGTTCATCCATGCTGGGATGATCCTGTCGTCCTCTAGATGATAGGTCACCTGAATCTTTCCGTCCGACATCTTGAAGTTCCTTTCAGCCACATCTTTACTTGCAGGTTTAGAAGGATCTCTGTGGAACCGCTCCTCCACACTCTGTTGGAGACGTTTGAATTGAATTAAATAACTTGTTCTATCTGTGGGACGGTTATTGCAAACAATACCGCTAGCAGTGCTCCTGGATTAACATATTTTGTTGATTTTTGACTTGTAGTCCTGTCTTAAAACTGCCTAAACAAGGGATCAGGTATAAATAAGATCAACCAAGAATTCTAAGATTCTAAAGTAACACTGGGTTAAACTGCTTGAAATTTAAAGGTCAAGCTTGTTTAGCTCGTACACTACCTTTATAGGCCTTTGATTAAGAGCCTCTCCAGCCCGAATCACTTTAATTTGTTTTCCATAAACAATATGACGATAATAGAGGAAGTCAGTCCGGTCTTCAAAGGTTTCAGTCATTTCAGATTGCTTCTCAATTCGTCTGGCTAGTCCATCGGTGCAAGTATGACCATAAAAGTCCATCTGACGCTCAGTCTCAGGAACTAACGTCACGTACCTATGGTCTAAGCAAAAGTAACATTTTAAACCGTTTGCTCAGGCAAGTTTTGACATCAGAAACTAATTAAATGTGTGTTTGATTACATTTAAGAGCATCACTTCTTCCAGGTCTAAAATGCTCAGTTGTCACATTGCTGTCTGTGTGTAGCTCCCTCTCCTCAAGATGATCACTTCGATGTTTGAACCATTCCTTTATAGTGTTGGGTTGAGTGCCTTAAGAAAGTGACAGTGTGTGTCTGATTTAACTAACTGCTCGTTTTTGGGTGAACAATCATTTCTACATGATTTCAAATAAAGTAATAAATCTGCTGAAGTCATTTAAGGTCTTACATTCAAGGTCTTTATAAGTGGTAAGTTTGGTCACCAGACCGTCTTTCAGAAGGTATGGCGCAAACTTCTCTAGCTTGGCTTTCCTGTACTGGAGTATTTTCGAACCCCCTGGATAACGCATTTCCATATCTGCAAAAAAGCAGAATGTGATTTATTAAATAATCCTTAGGAATTCTGGAAAATGGATGATAAACACAGAAAGTGAGGGCTTCACCTGGAGGTGGAATGTCTATTTTAGTCACCCAAGATGTAGGCATTTCAAATGCTTTCAGCTCATCAATTTCCTCCTTTAGAAGATAGGAATGTAGGTTAATAACTTTGGATAAAGATTCGGTCTGCTACTGGTACAGTAAGTTAAGTCAATAATGTTGTGGCCCACCTCAAGTTCTACTTACATCTCTAAGCAGAATTTAAAGCAGACCAGTAATTGTAAAATTCCCTAATCCCCACTTGAAGTTCCACTTCAAGGAAATGAGGGAAGCTTACATCCAAGGTCTTAAACTTGATTCCTAGAGGGCTGCAGGTCTGCAGTTTTGCTCCAACTATAATCAAACACAGATGATCCAACTAATCAAGGATTTCAACACTACTAAAGACTATTAAGCAGGTGTGAGTTGGAAGTGATTGGAGCGAAACCATGCAGAGCTGCGGCCCTCCAGGAATTGAGTTTGAGACCACTGGCTTAAATGGACATGATTCATGACCCCTTGATTTTGACCCGAGGGAACAAGTTTGCTTCATATGCACACTCCAGCACCCATAAGTCTCACAATGCAATGTGATTGGTGTTACAACAGTGTAGTTTCCAAGTGCCCAAAGGCATTCCATTTAATCCAATTCAGATGTTCTGGCAGTAGTGGACAGAGATGCAGGTCAACGAGATGTAGGAAGTTAGCAAGTCAAGGGAATAAAACTTGGACTGGAACGCAGCCCTAGTCATACAGTTTATATTAGCTGATCTCCACACAGCTGTTACATTCTGGCTTCTGTTACACTATCCCCACCCCCGCCCCCAAAACCTCACTCCCACGTCAGACACACACTTTGAGTGTTATTCGCATAAGTGTCTTCAGTATTGGAGGCAGGCTCACAAACTAGCTGGCCTTTATTACACTCACCCTCCTAAACCTCATTCCCACCCTGGTCATGGAACCAATGTAACCCTTCAGTTCTACTCGCACTACTCAAAGTGGGATTTAAACTGAAATAAATAATATGGGCGGCAGGTGTGCTTGCAAGAATCATAAAGTCTATAGCATCTGTTGCTAGTGCACCTCTTGATGGCAGTTGAGTGGGGTGTACATACAAACCTCTTACTAGCTGGCCCTCATTATATTTACCTACTCTAAACCTCATTCCCACCAGGGTCACGGCACCAACGTAACCCCTTAATTCTAGCGTCTCTGTTAGGGAAAGAGAAATATCAAGGTCTATCTACACAGCTTTCACTAGCTAGCCACATTACAGTGGCATTAAATTTAAATAGAAAAAAAAATAATGAACAGTCTTTCTGTACTTCCTCCTCGTCTTCCGGCTCTCGGGGTGATTTTTGTTCTGAAATCATTGATATGGATTGGCTAGTAAGTCCACACAGCATGTACTCCCACTTTGATAGATCACCCAAGTCAAACGTCATACTCTGCAAACACAAACAGACACGATAACCTTTACAAAGCTTGTCATCTTCACCCAAAACAATGTCACATCTACGCTAAGAGTTACTGACCCCACAACCGAAAGAGCAGTCTTGCTTGTTGACCCAGTAGTTTTGGTGGTTCCAGATGCTCTCAATACCCACAAAGTTCTCATTGGTGGTCGAATAACCCTTTCCTGTGAGAGGGTCAATAAAGAAGTTTTCAGGTATCTCACGGCTTCCCGAGAGCACCAGAACCCAGCTGTGAATCCTCAAGCCCAGAAGAGGGTCGTGCGGTGGACGTTCTTGCTCCTGTTCAAGAGAAACCGGTCAAATTTAAGGTAAAAATCAAACCGAGTTCCTTTGAAATACTCTCTGTCCGACCTTTCGAAGTCTCTCTTCCTCCTGTTGTTTCTTCACTGCATCTGCTTTAACTTTTGCTTGCTGTTTCTCCTCTTGATGTTTTTCAAAGGTGCTGTACAAGTCACGTGGGGGTTTTACAGAGTATTTGTTTACTGTCTTCTTTGGTTCCTCTGTATTATCCTGAGCAGATCATGCATAATATTGATAATGCATCCAGTTTAGGTTTTGGAAAGTTATGATTCTAGCATTACTGCTCAAGGTAATTAGTGGTAAAGCTGCATGCAGTCTACATGGGACAATATTTTTCAGGTATCTACTAATTCTAATCTGGTCTGATTAATTTATATAAAAATATATGGGGGTGGGAAATAAAAGAAAAGTTGCATGTAATAACTTTTCATTACTATTTAAGAGTAAAACAAATCTAATAAATAGCAGTATCTCAATTTACTTGAGCATTTTACATGTTTCTATTTTAATGACTATTAAAGTTATAATATATATGCATGACAGCATTGCAATGTGTAACTTCATAAATCATGTAAAATAACATCTGTAAAAGTAGTAAACTTAAATATTAAACTGTACACTCACAAGCTACTTTATTAAGTACACCTGTCCAACTGCTCGTTAATGCAAATTTCTAATCAGCCAACCACATGGCAGCAACTGCTTTAGCTCAAACCGAGCTTCAGAATGGGGAAGAAAGGTGATTTAAGTGACGTGGCATGGTTGTTAGTGCTAGGCGGGCTGGTCTGAGTATTTCAGAAACTGCTGACCTACTGGGATTTTTTACAAACAACCATCTATAGGCTTTCCAGAGAATGGTCTGAAAGAGAGAAAATATCCAGTGAGCGGTACTTCTGTGGGCGCAAATGCCTTGTTATTGCCAGAGGAGAATGGCCAAACTGGTTTGAGCTTTTAGAAAGGTAACAGTAACTTAAATAATCACTCGTTACAACTGAGGTCTGCAGCAGAGCATCTCTGAACACACAACACGTCGACAGTTAAGGCGGATGGACTACAGCAGCAGAAGACCACACTGGGTGCCACTCCTGTCAGCTAAGAACAGGAAACTGAGGCTATAATCCGCACAGGCTCAGCAAAATTGGATAATAGAAGATCAGAAAAATGTTGCCTGGTCTGATGAGTCTCGATTTCTGCTGACATTCAGATGGTAGAGTCAGAATTTGGCATCAACAATATCTGATTGCTGCTTCCAGCAGAATAACACGTCATGTCAAAAAGTGCAAATCATCTCAGACTGGTTTCTTGAACATGACAATGAATTCACTTTACTCAAATGGTCTCCACAGTCACTAGAACTCAATCCATTAAAGTCCCTTTGAGATGTGTTGAAAAAGGAGATTCGCCTCATGGATGTGAAGCCGACAAATTTGCAGCAACTGTGTGATGCTATCATGTCAACATGGACCAAAATCTCAGGAATATTTCCAATACCTTGTTGAATCTTTGCCACAAAATATTTAGAAAATTCTGAAGGGAAAAGGGGGTCCAATCCGGTATTAGTAAGGTGTACCTAATCAAGTGGCCAGTGAGTGTTTATCCTTTTTTTTTAACAGAAGATGCGCTTAATTATTCGGCTTGGAATCAGTCGGAAGATACCTGTTTTGGAGGCTTCAGCAAGGGACACTCCTGTCGGGACTGATCAAGCAGGCACATCTCTTTAGTGGCGTATCCACTGACGCAGTAAGCATTAAATCCTGCACCCAACAACAGACTACACAACACCATAGAGAACTCAAAACACGTGCCTCTCTGAGTCTGCAGAACTCGAGTTGGGGAGGACAGCTGCTTGGGCTAGAAATGAAATCAAAAAAACATGTTTTTGAGTATGAGATGCAAAAAAAAAAGCACAAGTCAAGATGGATCAACTTTAAAAAAAAAAGGAAAATACAAGTTCAAATGGTGGATCCAAAAGTTCCAGTGAGAGATAATCAGACACAAAACTGGCACATCCTTCCCAATCGTAAAGCTCAGGATATGGAAGTAAGGAGCTTCGCAAGGTGGTGCTTACAAACTTCTGAAAATATAGTGAAGAAATACATTTTTATATAATATGATTCATGAGTATTTCACAGTTTGTTATTAGAAAATTATCTACAAAAATGAATCAATAAGTTTTTTATTTATTTAATTAGTCTATGATGTTAATTATAAATATGCAGTTTAGGCATAAACTCATAATACAATTTGCATGTATTATTCTAGATTTTAAAGTCAGATTTTTTTTTATTACATTCATTTATTAACATGCAATTTATAGATTCATAACAATTTATAACTTTAATTAAAGGGGGGAAATTATATGTATTATAGTTCAGCAGTTTTACTGTAAATAATGCTTAATACAGTAATGTATCTTAATAATATTTGTGTCTTAATCATAGCTTGTAACCAAATTTGAATGTTTTTAATTACCAACTGTAAAAATACATTTATAGAAATGTATAAATAAATAATTGATATAATTTAAAATAATAATAATGGATATCATTTAAATTTTAACTATATGCAATTTAATAAATGCATAATACTATTTTTTGCCATATTCCAAAATTGAAGTTTTACAGTAGGTCTAAAACTAAACTAATCATAATTAAATTTGATAATTAATAAATACACACAATTCAAACTTAATCATTTATTCTATACTTAACTATAAACATTATAGTTATTTATAAATTAACAAATATATTTCCATTTATAATTAAGATATGATATAAAGCATTTTTAATCAGTTTATACATTTGACCCATCTACATAAATGCACTTAAAAGTGTATAACCTATATTAATTATTCATCATGCTGCAGGGTTGTGTTTTTCTTTTTTTTCTTCTTCTCATTTGTCTTGATATTCAGATTGCCTATAAAGCTGGATAATTGTCAGATTTGCTGTATGTACCTGAACACCACACTCATTTACAGGACTCAGCAGAAGTGCTTTTCTATCAGGATACAACAGCACAAACTGCTGACGGAAGTTTTCCGCCATGGCCAGCATGAGCGTCTCCTGTGAGGAATTCTGCTTGTATGAAGACGGATATCTTGAAAGATCAACTGGAGTTCTTGGTTTCATTCTGTATTACAATAAATAAGTATAACAATAAACGTAAGCAGAGAGGATAACTGTATCGTATACTAAACATAATAAAACGATGAGAGTGATAAACACAAATAACTTTTTTTAAGAAAAATATTAAAAACTTGAAATATTATTGATCATGATTTTCAAATTTTTAATTATGATTTTAATTTATTTAATTTTAAATTTCTTGTCATATATATATATATATATATATATATATATATATATATATATATATATATATATATATATATATATATACTGTATATATATATGTATATATATACACACAAACACAGCACAAAAGTATTAGGTGAAATTTTCGATCTTTTTCAAATGAGTTTCTTAACATTTAGTTTTAATAAGTAATTTATTTCGTCTTTAACATCACACATTTTACTAGATAAATTGCAAGTTGAAGGCTAAATTATTTTAACAAAGCAAGAGTATATGTACAATTGGTCAGAATTATTAGCCCCTCTTTGAATTTTTTTTATATTTCCAAAATGATGTTTAATAGAGCAAATAATTTTACAGTATGTCTGATAATATTTTTTCTTCTGGAGAAAGTCTTATTTGTTTTAATTCGGCTAGAATGAACGCAGTTTTTAATTTTTTAAAAACCATTTTAGGGACAAAATTATTAGCCCCTTTAAGCTATTTTTTCGATAGTCTACAGAACAAACCATTGTTATATATAAACTATTGTCCTAACCATAGTCCTGATCAAAACTACTAAATGTTTTTTTTAATACAAGATTTTAACTCGTTAATTGCAGAATTCATAAATGATGTCACTGATTTGGCGAAAGAAAAACATAAAATTTCTTATTTTCAATAAAAAAAGGAGTTGGACTGGATTTTTTAAACCTTGTGCATAAAAACAGGCGTTGTTTTTGTTTACTCCATGTAGTTCGGAGAGCTGAAATGCATATTTTGATTTTTACAGAGACACCAAGGTAAGGTCACACACTCATAGACACAAATACACACTTTAATTTGCTGTTATATGCCATATAAATCTATCTAAAGTGTTAATGGTGCCAACTGATGTTCAACCTTAGAAATGACAAACTTTACTTCTTCCCAACACATCATTATATAGTGTCATAAGCCACTTTTCCACTATGGTGCTGAACCGTTCTTTATGTGGAACCATGCCAAACTGGACCAGACAGTACGGATATGGTTTCATTTTCCACTGTCGTGCTGCAACAAAGCTCTTTGAAATGTTACATAAAACACATCAGTAGTTGCCTTGGTAACGTAATGTAAACGGCTCCCTTTGTACAAAGAAATTTTAATAATAGCCAACACTAGTTTTTTTCATTTTAATATGTAAAAGCGAAAGCAACCGCATGACTTAACACTTACATTATGCCGCTCTCTTGTTTGGGCTACAAGTCACAGCACCCCTATTTATTTAGAGGTCAAATGTTGCGAGGCTCTGGGCAAGCTTTACTTGGAGTGAAAAACGACCAAAATGTATGGTGATGAATGAAAATGATTGGAGGGGAAATAAATAATATATTTCAAATATCCGTACAGAACAGAAAACAAAACAATGATAATGTAACAATAATAGTGCATTTGTATTATAGTGGCAGAAATATATTTTCACTAATAAGCACTTTCACTAATAAACTATATAGCACTTAAATAATTTCATATTTAACAATCAATTAAATTACACAGCAGTTTCATATCAAAAGTTTATTAAGATATAAAATAAACTGCATTTTGATGGTAAAATATAACCTTTTAAGCGATGTCTGTTATTTGTTTCAGTATTCAAACATTAAATAACGAATGCATCAAGGTAAATAAATAAAAATTAAATAAATTTGACCTCTTCCCAACAGGGAAAACCACCAACAATCAAAAGTGCGTGATTATATGATGTCATAGTTTGCAATTAATAAATGTGATTAATGGTAGTCAATGGGGCAGCCACAAACAGTAAATTAGGGAGAGAGAAAATCTTCTGCTGCACAAAAACTAACATTAAATAATAGGCAAGGTTGTTAATAATATTTTACATGTCCAAGACTGTGATTAAATGTTTTTTTAAAAATCCAGTGTACAATTACTTTTTATATAGAAAATAAGTAATTTTGTAGGGGGTTTTCACCATATCAGTGACATCATTTATGAATTTGGCAATTAAAGAGTTAAAATCCTGTAATTTTATAAGCAATTTAGTAGTTTTGATCAGGACTGAGGTTGATTAACAGACTTATGCAAAAATTAATAAAGAAAAAATATTAATCTGATGCACTTTTACATCAGTTTATTTCATTGGATGTTTTCATCACTAATATAAAAAAGAACAGTACATTTATTTTTGTTTTTTAATTTCAAAGCATTTTCTCCAAAATATGTCAAATAAAGATTTATTACCAAAAACCATTCTGCTAGCTGAAACACAGAGAACGTTATGACCAAATTATGACTCAAAATCACCCCAGAGTGGATGAAAACATTCTTAACATACATAAGGGACACAATATTAATTCGATTTTCTTTTAACATTTATAAATCTTTCAATAATAACAGAAAATATCCTAATCATAAAAACCTGTTATATGGAGAATTTATTTGTTGAGTGACCTAAAATAACACTGACCTGGACATGTTCCTAACACGTTTTGCACAGATAAAGACAAACAAGTATAGTGTAAAACAAACAACAAGCGCGACCCTGTTCTCTGTGCACTAATGTACCCTGTAGTTTTTTTGTTAAAGTGAAACAGTTTGACTTTGGTCTACTAGCCCACAGTTGATACACCACTCATGTTTATGGCTAATGATTACAAACACTGTAAACAGCCAGCGTCCATTTACGAGAAGCCCCTGTGGAGAAACGCGAGCTTTCATGAACACACGAGTTTGCCACATGCTGATGAACTTTAATAACCTCACATGTGTGGAAGGTCTGGAGTCAATCGTATGTTATTATTAAGGCTGCTTTCAAGTTCCCGAAACCCCTTCTTTTCTTCATCATCTGTCAGAGTCGCGTCTTCCTCACTCTCCATCTCCGGTAACACTTCCATCTAATGAATTAATAAAGCAATAATTATACAGACAGACGAGAGAGGAGAAAGCAGGTCGATGACTGAAACATTAAACACATACATCTTGTTACTTTTACAGTTAGCAGTTTAAAGACTTACTGTTTATAAAAGTGAATATACGTCCCTAATCTAAATTAACTGATAAACAGTAGATTAACGTAACGAGCGGCAGGAGCGTGAAACTTTTGTTTATGTTGCGCAATTTAGTTTCCATGGCGAGGGGAGACGTGACGTAACAGCGCGGGGTGGAGTCAGCTTTTGTGTTATTTTGAATTCATTTTAAATTGTTACATTTTTAAATCAGAATAATAAATCTTCAAGTGGATCCAGGACTTTTTTACTGTATCAGACTTGAAAAGCTGAGATGCTCACTCTCTGGCTCACTAGATTCCTTTTATAAGAGTTGAGATTCCTTTCTTGACTAAGTTACACCAAAGGCCTGCCTATTACATCTGCTGCTGGCAACCTGTAACTTCTACCATTTTATTAGAAGGTTTTTTTTTTCATTATTATAATTATTATTTTAATTATTATTATTTTTACCATCTATATCCAGCTATTATTATTCATTTATTTATTTTATTTTCGGCTTAGTCCCTTTATTAATTTGGGGTCTCCACATGGGAATGAACCGTCAACTTATCCAGCATTACGCAGCAGATGCAACCCATCACTTGGAAACATCCATACACATTCACTCACACACATACACTACGAACAATTTAACCTACTACCCAATTCACCTGTACTGCATGTCTTTGGACTTGTGGGGGAAACCGGAGCACCCGGAGGAAACCCACGCCAACATGGGGAGAATATGCAAACTCCACATAGAACTGCCAACTGACCCAGTCGAGGCTCCATTATTATTTTGTCATGTATTCAATTTTTTTATTTTGGCATTTATTTATTTATTTGATGTTGTTGTTTTGTTAATTGAGTTAATGAATGAGAGGTTAGGGGATGGGATTAACCATGGACAATACATTACCGTTACCTCTCACTATTTAATTTGTATTGTCAGACAAAAGACTAATAAAAAAGACTGAAAAAAATCTTAGGTGAGTAAAGAAACATCTAATTAAAAATATTTTGTTATAAATTACTGTCACTTTTAAACTATTGCAACATTGGTGGCTAAAATATACATTTATATTTAAATTAGTTAATGTTACTGTTCCTTTATTGTGGGTGTGTATGTAGGAGCGTAAATAAAATACTCAATATTCATTTGTTTTATTGATTTTTCTAAATTTCTTTACATTCTTATAAAAATTAAAAATTTTACCTCGACAATCAAAAATGCATAATTATATGGTGTCATGGCTTTGCAATCAAAAAAATTGGTTATAATGTAAGTCAATAGGCCAAAAACAACCAAGAACAGTAAATTAGGGAGAGAAAAAATGAAAACCTTCTGTTGCACAAAAACTAACAATACATCAAAGGCAATGTTGTTACAAATCTTTCACATGTCCAAGACTGATAAAAAGTTTAAAAACTCCAGTCCACAATTATTTTTTATATTGAATTGTTTTTTTAATTTTTATATTTCTTTACATTTAATTTTATGCTTTATTTAAAGTTTTAATTTCAGCCTTAATTTAAAAAAAATTATAATTATTTCCTTAGCACAAATTGTTACATTTATGATAATAAGTTAGACAAAAAAAAAGATTATGTAGACAATAATAATAAATAGGAGTTATTTTAGTGTCTGTGATATTTGAAAATTAGTTAAAAGTATTGTAAGAATAAGGAAAATGTAAAAAAAAAAAAAAAAAAAAAAAGACTATTTATATACATGGTGTCACAGTGGAGAAGGTTGCTGGTTCAAGCCTCGGCTGGGCCAGTTGGCGTTTCTGTGTGGAGTTTGCATGTTTTCCCTGTGTAGGTGAATTGAATAAGCTAAATTGGCCGTATAGTACATGTGTATGAATGAGAGTGTATGGGTGTTTCCCAGTGTTGGGTTGCAGCTGGAAGAGCATCCGCTGCGTAAAACATATGCTGGTAAGTTGGTGGTTCTGTCTGCTGTGGTGACCCCTGATTAATAAAGGGACTAAGCCAAAAAGAAAAGAAAAGAAAAGAAAAGAAAAGAAAAGAAAAGAAAAGAAAAGAAAAGAAAAGAAAAGAAAAGAATGAATATGTATACTGAGAGGCGCAGTGAGTAGTGCTGTCACCTCACAGTATGAAGGTCGCTGACGCTGGTTCGAGTCTTGGCTGTGTCGGTTGGCATTTAAGCGTAAATGAAATGTCAAGTACTTTCAAAATAGCCTATGCTGGCAATCAGGGGCAAATTTACCCAATAAATGAGGTAAGGTAAGCGGCCAGTAAAAGGGGCCCTGAACAATGCCAAGCAGCCTAAATTAATAATATAGCTCTTTTACAAATGTTCGATCATATTTTTTAAAATCTATATCAATTGAGATTGTAATGTTATTATTTAATTTCAAAATCGGGGGCCCGCATAAATAGTGGAACGTTTGTTCCGTACTGCACATGCAAATGTTATAATCTAATCACAAATATGGCTAATTAACTGTACATATTATTCATTTCATTCATTTTCTTTTCAGCTTAGCCCCTTCATTAATCAGGGGTCACCACAGCGGAATGAACCGCCAACTTATCCAGCATTTATTTTACACAGCAGATGCCCTTCCAGCTGCAACCCATCACTGGGAAACATCCATACACATTCATTCACACACATACACTATGGACTATTTAGCTTAGCTAATTCACCTGTACCGCATGTCTTTGTGGTATGTCTCCGGAAACCGGAGCACCCAGAGGAAACCGAACATGCAAACTCCACACAGAACTGCAAGCTGACCCAGTCGAGGCTCGAACCAGCAACCTTCTTGCTGTGAGGCGACCGTGCCACCCACTGCGTCACAGTGACGCCCTATTTGTGAATTTATTTTATTTAATTTTACATTAAGATAAAACTTCCTTTAAAATATATTTTAACATGCAGTTTATTTAAATAAAAATCGAATCTACGGAGAAAAAAAATTATCTTCAAAGAAAGAGACAGTTTTAAGTTTTAATGCTATAGGGCATACCTGGAATTGCTTTGTGTTTGTGTGTGTTTGTGTGTGTGTGGCTGTGTGGGTCACACACACACACAGGGATGAGATAATATATAATATTAGTTAGTTTTACACTTGATGTTAAAACAGACTTTTAAATGAATAAATAACATCTGTAATTTGTCTCGGGATCCACGTTGCAATCTCGACTGTAGCTAGACTGTAACTTTTTTAACTTGAAATAAAAAACTCATCAAAAACGCTTTTTACCCATTTTGTGAACAAACCTCTGCTTGTTTAGATTTTCAACTAACTCCATTGGCTTTTTATTGTTGCTTTGACTGACACAAGTCTGTTTTCTCGCGTATGTTTACACCTAAACCCACTGTCTTTGAAATAATACTCGTATAATGTAATCATGACGCATAGTGGGGGCTCCTGGCGCACTGATTGGCTCGCCGCCCCCTCGCGACGCCCCATTGGTCGCGCGCATTGATAGACGCGAGCTGAAGCGCAGCAGTCAGATCACATCCAGAGCGCCAAACACACACAGGTACACGCAAACACTATGGGAAATTCGTCTCTCTTCAGGTGTGTCGCTTTATTTCTTATTTTATTACACCAGACTTCGGGATTCTGGCTTTTCAATGTTATCTTCCCTCCGACGGCCAAACCTCGCGTCATAAATAACAGCACTCCTCCACTTATCATTGGTAAGACAACTTAAATGTACAGTTTGCAGTTTTTTTTGTAAAGATTTTGTGATAATGTTCATTGGTTCATTCATTTCTTTCTGTTTAAAATGCTAAGCTAGAGGAAGATAAGATATTGACAGCAAGTGCACTTTATAGACTAGTTGAAGTCCATCATTTGTTTTGTGGGTTCATCTTTGATAAGAGGTGTATTTGTTAAATATTTGACCTCTTTTTCTGAACAGTTCCTGGAAATTTAGGTAACCGCCTGGAGGCCAAAATTGACAAGCCCACACTGGTGCACTGGATGTGCTACAAGAAAAGCGAGGACTGGTTTCCTCTGTGGATTGACCTGAACATGTTCATGCCCATTGGAGTAGACTGCTGGATTGATAATATAAGGCGAGTTCACTGTGCAAACAAACTTGACCTGATTAATGCATCCCTGCTCACTTAAAAATGTATTTCTTTATATATATATATATATATATATATATATATATATATATATATATATATATATATATATATATATATATATATATATATATATACAGTTGAAGTCAGAATTATTAAACCCCCTGAATTATTAGTCATCATAATAGTTTTATTAACTCATTTCTAAAAACTGATTTATTTTATCTTTGACATGATGACAGTAAATAATATTTCATTAGATACTTTTACTTTTTAAATCGACAATTTAAAGGTATAACGAGGTTAATTAGGTTAACTAGGCAGGTTAGGGTAATTAGGCAAGTTATTGTATAACTATGGTTTGTTCTGTAGACTATCGGAAAAAAATATAGCTTAAAGGGGCTAATAATTTTGACCTTAAAATGGTTGTTAAAAAATTAAAAACTGCTTTTATTCTAGCCGAAATAAAACAAGTAAGACTTTCTCCAGAAGAAAAAATATTATCAGACATACTGTGAAAATGTCCTTGCTCTGTTAAACATCAATTGGAAAATATTTAAAAAAGAAAAAAGGCCTCTGGAAGGCCTTGAATAATAATATATTATTATTATTTTTTATTATTTATTATTATTATTATATTAGAGTATATTCTTTATATTTATTATTCATTTAGTTAAAATGTATATATTTATACAGATATAAATCTTAATTCATAAGTATTATAATTATATATTACTTGTATTACATAAATATTATTATATTACCTAATTCTATAAATATTAATTCATAAGAACTATTGAATGCATCCTTAAAAGAAAAATACATATTAAAAGTTATTAGAATTAAATATTTTAGTTTAATTAAATAATTATAGTTATTATTATCATTATTTTACCTCTCACAGTGTTTATTTTTCAAATAAATGACAAAAATGTATTGTAAATAAATAAAATGTAATTAATAAAAAAATATTTAATAATTTGTATAGATTTTAAATGATTTTACTTTTTTATATTTTATATTTATCATTATTAATAAGTTATAATAAAATAGAAATAATGTGCTTAAGATGTGTTTTGTAGTACATATAGTTATAATGAAGAAAAATTAATTGCTATCTAATACAAATTAATAGGCAGTACAAAATTCCTTATTATGACAGGTTTATTTGTATTTTTATATATATTATTATATAATAATGATTATTGATATGTCATGTATAAACTATGAATGTTATTAAGGAATATATTAATAAAATTTAAAGTGTTATCATTTATTTTATACATTTTTGTAATTGGTGTTTTTGTTTTAATTAGATGCATTTGTTTTAAATGTCTGTGTAGTTTTATTTATGGTATTATTATTATTATTATTATTATTACAAATTGTTATTATTGTAATTATTATACATTAATACTATTTAGCGTTATATCCTTGATGACTAACTAAACCAAAATAAGCCATCATACTTTTATTTTATTTTAAATCATGTTGATTTCATAAGAACAAAGTAATAAATGTTATAATGGCTTAGTTGTAATATTTCAACAGCTTGCTTAGTCTTGTGCAAATTTACAGCTCTGTATTTCACCTCACCGACCTTTTGTCTATTGTTTCTGGAAGATTCTCAAAGGCTGATGTCATATGGACAGTCCAGTGTATCATAATCAATATTAGCAGCTGTAGTACTCTCCTGTAGAGTCAAATGAGGCCATGAGAAGCTTAAGCATCCTTAAAACAATACATGAAAATACAACTCTTGTATTTATTGGCTTAAACCTAATATGATTGTAAAGTTTGTGTGTTTTTGTGCAGAATTGTTTACAACAGAACCACTCGCAAGACGTCAAATGCGCCCGGGGTGGATGTCAGGGTTCCTGGATTTGGACAGACGCACCCGATTGAGTTTCTAGACTTAAACAAGCTGACCGGTGAGAATTAGGTTCTTTGATAAGGATTGTATACCCAATAAAAATTTACTCACCATTTTAAGTGGTTTCAAAAATCGTTATGACTTTGTTTTTCTCTTGAACACAAAATAAGATGTTTTGAAAAATGTTGGAAACTGCTAGCCATTGACTTCCGAAGAATGTTTTTTTTTTATTTCTATTATTAAACTCAATGGCTTCCAGTTTCCAGCATTTTTCAAAACATCTTATTTTTTGTTCAGCAGAAGAAAGGAACAAGTAAAGGGTGAGTAAATAATGAAAGAGTTTTATTTTTTGGGTGAACTTTACCTTTAAGATACGAAAGAAACAAGCACATTTACATACTGTATGGTAAAAAGAAATCACAAAAGATGTACATTTCCTGTCTAGGTTACTTCCACACTATGGTTCAGCATCTGGTCAGCATTGGATATGTGCGAAACGAGACTGTCCGTGGAGCGCCGTATGACTGGAGAATCGCTCCGAGTAGGTGAAATCACAGATGACAACAATCATTTCGCAACCACACAAAAACAAATAGTTGACTGTACAACAGGACTAGCCAACTGTCCCGCATCTCCAACTCAAATCAAATACATCTGATCCAGAGAATCAAGGTCTGAAAATGACAGACGGGTTTGTTTGATTAGGGCTGAAGCCAAACTGTGCAGGACAGTGACCTGCACACACTGGAGTTTAAAAGTCCTACTCTACGTCACATAAATTTATATATATATATATATATATTTTTTTTTTATATATATATATATATATATATATATATATATGAGAGAGAGAGAGAGAGAGAGAGAGAGAGAGAGAGTTTGTATATTTAATAATTAAATAAGCAACATTTTCATTCATCCATTTTCCTTCAGCTTAGTTCCTTTATTCCAGGGGTCGCCACAGCATAAAGGCCGTCTTACTGTGAGACGACAGTGAGCCATTGTGCCACCCAGATAAAACATGATATCATTTATAGACTAAAAGCAACAGAAAACAAATCAGTTTTAGGACAAGACTTAAACTCGGACAAAGCTGATCTAAAATAAAGTGGACATTTGTTCCACAGTGTGGGACCGGCAACTTCAAAAGCTCGAAGAGTTTGGTTTTAAGTCTTAAACTTTCAACATAGGCTCATTCTCAAAATGCAGCCCTATATACGTTTCTGGAGGCAATTATGTAGCCAGAAGTACGTATGGCTGCATTTGATTAAACATTCGGTCAGTCAGTTAGTCATTCAGTCAGTCAACAGCAGCCTTTAGTGGGTTTACACGAGAACAGCAGGCGCAAATGGCTCTCGTTAGAGAAATTTGATATCTCAAAAAGCGTACACTGCGGGCTCTGGTGGATTCGCAAAAACTCCAAAAATGTACCTCTTGGGACGTATTTTGTGGCCTCCAGAAATGTATATAAAGGTTTTCAGACTGAGCCTGGGTTGTAAACCTCTGGTGGGAGAAGATGTGTGGAGCAGATCAGACAATGGGAAGGGGCTAAATGATTTATTGATTTGTAAATAAGTAATAGGATATTAAAGTGCACCTATGATGAAATCATCTTTCGTAAGCTGTTTGGACAGAACTGTGAGTAGGTATAGTGTGTTTACAGTTATATTGGGAAGACATAAAGACAGTAGTCTCTGTTTTTAAATTTCTGAATGTTAAAATAGGATTAAAATCCCTCCTATTTTGAGGCCCGATGCAACGTGACATAGGAGTGCGGTTTCCCCGCCAACCAATTAATTGACAGCCGTGTCTTTGTAGTAACAAGTATAATCATATCAACAAGACAAACGTGCACAAAGCAACAGGAATTAAAAGTTCTGTTCAGCTCTCTGTGATCATCAATCATCATCAAATGTGATCAAGAATGAGTTTTACAAGTTTAAAACGTGTTTAAAACAGTGCATGTGTGTAATAAATTACAGTGATTTTACTATATTTATCAGCACAGCCGGTGTGAGAGTACAATTAAGAAAGAAGAAGCTTCAATCCCAGTTTGTGGACGTTAAATCAGGTTTATTTTGTACATTAACATAATGGATGTCCATACCTGTTTCTGGTCACATTTGCAAGCAAAATGTTTTAATAAAGATGTTTTGTAGAATCCAGACAGCGGTCTGGTCAAGGCCAAAGCCTGATACATTGTAGCACTCCTGGTCAGGAGTTAGAAAACCACAAGAAGATATTTTCTTTCCCACCAGAAATGTATTTATCCTGGAATTTGGCACAGATGTGAGTTTACGTGCACTGATGGGTATAAAACTGTCTGTTGAGAAGACTGAGACAGTCTCTTACACATTCACTCTGTGTGTGTAACAGGTGTCATCCTGCTTCCAGGATTATTTTAATAAACTAACTTTTTACTTTGCTCTAATTTACATGACAAAAGTTTACGCATGCGCTGTGTGTGTGTGTGTTTGTGTTTGTGTGTGTTTGTGTGTGTGTGTGTCCACTGTGTGGTGTGTGAACATTGTAACGACATTGTGTGTGACTAATCGTTCTTATCAATTAATTAAATTCACAACAAATAAATCAAATGAAAAGGGAAAGTTCTTACTGTAGTATTTCTGACAAACGCTACGTGAGATCTGCCTCCTTTGTCTGTCACTGTGCTGTTTATCTGACGCAGCCGAGTCGAAGATTGAGGCACACTCTAGAGAACTAGCATTAAATGCACAGGCAACAAAAACAGCTACATAAGGTTCAGAGCAGAAAATTCCAGTATTCTAAAAAATTTAAAATAATCAGATGGGTGTTTTGAGTTAAAACTTTACAGACACATTCTGGAGACACAAAAGACTTATCTTAGAGGTAAAATAGGTGCCCTTTAAACTGAACCCTAAAACTAATAGGTTGACAATGTAGAGATCTTAGGATGGGGGTGATCAGGTCATCTCTTTTATTTTAGAAGTTATGCTACAGAGTTTTGTATGACCTGTTAGCAAGCCATTTGGGACTTGGATATGCCATAATAGAGGGAGTAACAATAATCTAAACGTGAGGTAATGAGTGCATGGATGCCAGTCTCAATGGAACATTGAACAAATTTTAGACAGAGAGCGTGGATGGAAAAAGATAGACCCTACATCTCTGCTAATCTGTTGTATTTAAGGCAGCCAATAACCAAAACACTTAGATTCCAAGCATGGGGAGAGATCAATTGGTGCAGTGATTCTGGGACAAGGTGATTGTTTGGGTTGGATTCTAAAGGGTTAATAACAATGACTTGAAGGAACGTTCTTGGCTAGCCATACTTTCATATCATCAAGATGTGCTGTCAGACTGCTTAGAGCGCACATCCTTTTTAGACAAAGAAAAAATAAATGTGAATATCGTCAGCATAGGAGTGGAATGAGACATTATATTTCCTAAATATGGAGCCCAGTGGGAGAAGATCACAGAAAAGAAAAAGGACAGGAAATGACAATAGGACAGGGGATAGCCTTGAGGCACACCACAAGAGAGACTGTGATGAGAAACATCTTTATTTTACAGAAAAAACATCTGTTTGTTAAAAAAAAATACTTAAACCAACTTAAAACAGGGCCCTTGACCCAAAACAAGACTCTAGTCATGCTAAAATGATTGCATAATTGATGCGATCAAAAGCAGCGGACAGATCATTAATAGGATAACAGAGTTTCCTGAATCTGTGACCATATAGATATAATTAAAGAGCCCCTATTATGCATTATAAAGGGTCATATTTTGGTTTTGGGGGTCTCCAACAACCGGCTGATATGCATGTAAAATCAAAAAACATTTTCATTGTCTTATAATATGCATTTATTTTTTATTCCCATATAATTCATTTAGCGATTTGTTTGTTCCCAAACCCGTCATTAGCGAGAAGCTAATCTGCGACTGGGTTCAGCGCAAGACAATGCAGTTAAACACCAGCATATGATTCTTAACCACAACCCCAAGTAATAACAATGACACACATTCAGTATTAATCCACACAGTGGCTGAAGTTGAACTTTTTGGAAATTAACCGCACCACGTGTGTGAGGAACAGCTGATAGTGGCCATAGCAAAGGCAAATGGCAGAGGATCGCGAGTTTAAATCAGTAAAGAAGCACGCGACGCGTTTTCAATGTGGTTTTGTACACAATATATGAATAGCCCCATAAAGATTTAACCTGAGAGATGAATTACAAGCACTGATTTATTATAGATAAGTGATTACAAGCCGTGCAAAGCGATTACAAGTTACAACACTATTAAACACATATTGTGCAAACTACAGAAAACAAGACAACCATTTTAATAATGTTACATGTTATGATCCAAAGGGAGAAGAAACTGGTCCATATGAACTGTAACAGTTACTGACAAAGTCCTGAACATAATAGTCTATGCTGCTCCTTGCTTTAATAGCAAATGGCCGGCGAAGGGGAAAAATGACAGGAACAAATACTGCAATAGGCTATACTGTGGTATTGTTGTGAAAATAAACCTGAACAATTTTTTCCCCACAGCTGAATCTTCATCTGTCAGTTCATGTTATAATCAATTCCGTGATCCCCCACACTCCGCTAGTGTCTGGAGGGAAAGGGTGTTCACATTTTACCGGATCTGGAAGTACATATTTGGTACTGTGTTTTATGTGTTTAAGCAAAAGATCCGAACCCAACATAATTCATTTATTCGACTCTGAGTCGACTATTTTGTTAAAGAATCAGTAGTTTCAAACATGATATTTAAAAAAAAATGGTTTCAGACAGGAGGATCTAAAGCTGTAAAAGCACAATTTCTTCCAGTTTCTTAGACATATATGTGGCATTTGATTGAATGCAGGTATCTAGTGAGGGTTTCTTTAGTAGGTGTAACTGAAGCAGTTTTCAAGCGAGGGCTATACTGCTCCTTCAAGTAAAGATTTGTTAAATAATGATGTCTGCCGGGGGCCAATAGTGTCAAATAATTGTCTTAAAGAAAGAGGGAGAAAAGTATCAAACTGGCAAAATGATACAGAGTATAGAGAAACCGGAGTTGAAAAAGGTCATGTAGAGCCAGTGCATTCTTTTCATTTTGCAATTACTGCGCAGAGATCTGAAACTGGACCCAAAAATACATTGTAATACATTGTTTACACAGCGTATTGTTACAATCCACAGACATGATAATCACAAGCTAATGTTGGCAAACGTTAAACATGCATAAACAAGCTAAGCTATCAACATGTTAAATCTTTTTAGTAGTGTGCTAAAACACATTATTGATGTTTTAAAATACAGTTTGTCATGTAGCCAATGCATGCTAACAAAAAAGTTAACAAGCTATGTATTAATTCATGCTAGCCTAATATTAAACATGCTGAATAGATGCTAGCAGTATCACAAGTCATGCTAGCATATTGCGAACCATGATAGCTATGTGGTAAAACATGGTAAAAGCTTTCATTTAAGCAACATTTAAAACATCATGCTAGCCAAACGGTAAACGTGGTAGAAACATGCTTTGTACAGATTTATGTTAGTCATGAGATAACAAATGCTAGAAACATGTTCATCAATGCAACGTTAAAGATGCTAATTTGGGTAAAAGCCATGTGATAAAACATGCCAGAAAATCCTAGTATTATGTTAAAATGTTGTTGAAAGCATGTTAAAACAGGCTAGACATTGAATCAATAAAACGTGATTGTTTCTGTTTGGCACAACACAGATGAGCAGGAGGAGTATTTTTCACGTCTGAAAAACTTGGTGGAAGAAATGCACGATGAGTACAAGCAGCCCGTGTACCTGCTGGGCCACAGCATGGGCAGCAACTACATCCTGTACTTCCTCAATCAGCAGACGCAGGACTGGAAAGACCACTACATCAAGGGCTTCATCTCTCTAGGGGCCCCTTGGGGAGGCGCTGTGAAGCCCCTCAGAGTCTTAGCATCAGGTACAGAGAACAAATGACTATATTTATCTGACCAAATATACAGTGACTGGGAAACACCCATGCACTCTTGCATTCACACACATACACTACAGCCAATTTAGCTTATTTAATTCACCTGTACCGCATGTCTTTGGACTGTGGGGGAAACCGAAGCACGTGGAGGAAACCCACGTAAACACTGGGAGAACATGCAAACTCCAACCAGCGACCTTCTTGCTGTGAGGTGATCGTTCTACTCACTGCGCCATCATGACTCCATAACCAAGTCATATAATAATAATCAATATTATGATTAAATAAATAATTCATTTAATAAAAATAAATTAATATTATTCTTGTGATGTAAAAGCTAACTCAGCATCAATGTGTGGCACAAGATCCTTCATAATTCTTAAATATTTAAAAAACAGTTCTTAAATATTTCATATATTTATTGTCTAAAAAAATTCAGTTTTTTAAAGACTTTCTTTTTTAAAGCATCTTTGCTTGAGTTATTTATTAATATTTTATTTAAACTTTTGCTTTTTTCGTTTTAAAAGTATAAGCATTAGTAATATATTAAAACATTACTACGGTGGCCGAGAGAGCTTATTTTACTGCAATTTAGGAAAATGTGCAATTACAAAACAAATTAAATAATATCTTCATTCATTTACTTTATCAACACACACATTCTGCAAATCCTTTCAAAGGATTAAAACACATTAAACACATCAAAAAAACACTGGATTTAACACAAACACAAACAATTAGTAAAATGCGCTGTATTTTCTCACAACACAATTGAAATTTTTTAGGGAAACCCTAAAATGTGACGGAAATGGCTATTTAGGTTATGGTTATTTAGGCTAATAAATACTAAAGATACTGGAATCGAGACATTAAAACAAACAAACCTTTTAAAGATCACTTACAACTTCTCTGAGCAGTAGTCATGGCACAGCGACGTCTGCACGTTTTTGGGTGCCCTTGAAACATTTCCATTGTGTTCTGATGTTTTTGTGTCGTGTTGTTTTCGTAAAATGTTTGTGTTGTGAGAAAACGCAGCACATTTCATTCATTTGTTTGCGTTGTTTGAAAATTGGGCGTTTATTAATAATCTGTTTGCGTTGTGACGATTTGCAGCACATGTGCTGTCAAACGGATGAAAAGCTTTTCTCAGTTTGCTGGCGTTTTGTGTAGTTGTTTTCTTAAATTGCAGTATGTTAGTCTCTCTCGGCCACCATTACTGCTGAATAAAATAATTTATAAAATACTAGATAACTTCAACAGATTAGATAACTTATACAGATTACTTCAACTTGGATAATTATTTGTAAATAATAAATGTTATGTCCGGTGACATACTTATTTATTTTAAATATTCATTAATAATATTTTTTTTGTGACTATATAAATGTATTTAATGTCACATTTAAAAGAATCTTTACTTCTAGTTAGAGATCTGCGTGGGACTAAATTTTGAATCCCGCTCCTGCCAGGTTTTAATCCGAACCCGACCGCTCCCGCTTATATTCAGTATTTGTTGTCCCGCTGCCCGACCCTCTCTGTTTTCTACCCACCGCACCCGTTCCCGCTAACGGAAGGGGGGGAGAACAAAACCAAAAACCACCCAGCTATACAGTGTCCAGACAGCCTATAACAAGCTGTCTGTATATATATACACACACACATAGACACACAGCACCAAGCAAGTGACATTCACAGACAGCATCACGCTCTCTCACACATACACACACAGCACAAAGCTCTCTCTCTCTCTCTCATTCGCACACACACACACACATAGACAACAACAAACAAGCTAAACACAGTATCACGCTCTCTTATTCACACACATACATATGCGTGCTCAGGAGTCATGAGCGATATTGTTAGACCCCTCGCTCACATCCAAAATTACACCTGTTACCAAATGCTCTAGCACTTTATTCGGAAATTTATTCCCGACTGCAAGAAATCTGGTCGGGTCCCTGCAGACCTCTACTTCTAGTTGTTCTAGTGGTTTTGCACCCATGTCAAAAACATGGTAACGTTAATACGATATACTAAATATGTCGCAAAATAAGGAATTAAAAACCACAACCACTTTATACAGTATATATTTATTTTTACAGTATATATATATATATATATATATATATATATATATATATATATATATATATATATAGAGAGAGAGAGAGAGAGAGAGAGAGAGAGAGAGAGAGAGAGAGAGATTATTAAACATTAAATACAGATGTTTTAATTGTTTGTTTTAGTCAATTTGTTACATGTTCTTGATTATTTGGTTTCAGTTCATTGTATTGTATTTTTCACATTTAGTTTCACCAACCTGATTAATTATATGTATTTATTTGCTAAATTAATTTATTCTAAACAAATGTTTTAATTGTAATTGTAAAACTATCATTTTGATCACCATTTTCTTTAACATGAACACTGAATTTGGATGCTTTTTCATTCCGTTTTCAAGGTGAAAATGACGGCATACCCTTCGTCTCCAACATAAAAATTCGGGAAGAGCAACGTATGACCACCACAAACCCGTGGATGATCCCTTCTGAGGAGACATGGCCTAAAGACCACACCTTCATCTCCACCCCCTTTTTCAACTACACCAATCAGGACTACATGCAGTTCTTCAAAGACATCAACTTTGAGGACGGCTGGTACATGTGGGACGACACCAGAAACCTCACCGCAGGCCTGCCAGCACCCGGAGTCGAGGTTTACTGCCTGTATGGGGTAGGACTTCCTACACCCGTTACATACATATACGACGAACAATTTCCAAACGCTGACCCCATAGATATTCTTTATGATGACGGAGACGATACCGTTGACAGCCGAAGCATGAGTCTTTGTAAACGCTGGATTGGGAAGCAGGAGCAGGCCGTTCACGTGACCGAGTTCAGAGGCATGCCTCATTTGGACATGGTGTTTAATCACAAATCACTCACAACAGTTCAGAGGATTCTAGAAGGAACATACAGGGAAGAGAAGGATGTCGGTTTTGAACAGCCGTCGTCAATTGGTTTTGTCTGATATTTTTTCGGTTATTAAACTACCTGACAAAAGTCTTGTCGTCGATCCAGTTGTAAGAGCAAGAAATAATAACTTGACTTCTAGTTGATCATTTGGAAAAGTGTCAAAAGGTAGATTTTTCTGATGAATCATCTGTTGAACTGCATTCATATCATCACAAATACCGCAGAAGACCTAATGGAACCCGCATGGACTCAAGATTCTGACAGAAATAAGTCAAGTTTGGTGAATGAAAAGTCATGTTTTGGGGTTACATTCAGTATGGGGACGTGTGAGAGATCTGCAGTTTGGATGGTAACATCAACAGCCTGAGGTGTCAAGACATTTATGCTGCCCATTACATTACAAACCACAGGAGAGGGCAAATTCTTCAGCAGGATAGTGCTCCTTCTCATGATTCAGCCTCCACATAAGAGTTCCTGAAAGCAAAGAAGGTCAAGGTGCTCCAGGATTGGCCAGCTCACTCACCAAACATGATTATTAAGCATTTATGGGATAAAATCCAAAGAATCTTGATGAAGTCTGGGAGTCCTGCAAGAATGCTTTCTTTGCCATTTCAGATGACTTAATTAGTAAATTATTTGAGTCATTGCAGAGATGTATGGATGCAGTCCTCCAAGCTCATGGGAGTCAGACACGATATTAAGTCTTCTTCCACTGCACCATGACTTTATATTCTATACTGGACATTATTTCTGTTAAGTAAAAAGACTTTTGTCTAAGCAAAGTCAGAACTGTCTTAATTAAAGAATTAAAAATCAAGGCATGATCATATTTTATTTTGGTGAAATAAGCACAATCTAGAGGCCTTTGCCTCTCCTAAAAGCCATTTCTGATATCAAATGATCTACTAGAAGTCAAGTTATTATTTGTCGTTCCTAAGACTCAATAGGAGGATAGGTGGCAAGTCTTTTGTCAAATAGTGTACAACCTTGTGTACAAAAGTTTATTTGGGAGGCTTAGTTCTACACAAAATGAAAATTTTGTCTATTTCAGTCTTGTTCACTGGGGCTACTTTTTGACTTGTTTTGATTGTGTGTTTTTTTACAAGTACCTGGCAACCCTTTTTTTTGAACCCATAAGAAGTATAATCAAATCTGAGAGATTTTTGTCCCTCCTTTAAGCGTCTGTTCACCCAAAGATTGCTCCAAAACATATATAAATCAAAAATGTGTACATATGAATTAAGATATTTTAATGCAGGTTTAAGGTACAAAATATCAACCCATTGTTGGTACAAATGGTTAATGTAGGGCATCTAACTAGTTTGTAAATGTAAATAGGAGTCAAATGCATCAAATTAGACAATGACCTGCATGTGCTAACTCTGGGATTCTTCATGATGTCCTGAAAGAAATGCTTTGAAAGTACATACAAAATACCATGAGTAAGCATTAGTAAGATAAATCTTTAGAACACAGGTGTCAAACTCAATTCCTGGAGGGCCGCAGCTCTGCACAGTTTAGTTCCAACCCTAATTAAACACACCTAATCAAACTAATTGTGTCTTTCAGGCTGGTTTGAAACCTACAGGTAAGTGTGTTGAGCAAGGTTGGAACTAAACTGTGCAGGGCTGCGGCCCTCCAGGAACTGAGTTTGACACCCCTGCCTTAAAGGATAGGGCTAGTTCAATAATCTCATTTACTCAGTGTTCACTTGTCCCAAACCCAACTGCGTTTGTTCTGTTGAACACAAAAGAAAATATATTAGACAATGTTGAAAACGGTAGCTACTGACTTCCATTTTATATATATTTGTCTTACTATGGAAGTCAGTGGCTAGTGGTTTACACCATTTCTTAGTAAATGAAAATGAACCTTTTGAAGCTTTCACATTTACGCTTTTATTGAATAACTCACACATCCAAATTTGAGCATGGGGGCATCTCGGGTATACATTAGTGCACAACGTTAATGAACATGCCCCCTACACTGACACTGAAGTAACTGTAAATAAAGTCGCTATTTTTATTTTCTGTGAGCACAAAAGGTTTCTCTTAGCTTGATAATACTCTGACTGTACCGCTGAAAGCATATGTTTCAGCCTGATCTCACGAGGAAACGTAACTATTTTTCGTTTTGTCAGTTTAGTGGTGAATGTGTTTGAGTTCAGTCATACGAAAATGTACGATTTTAAAAAGGAGGCGTTTAAAATGTAAAGACATTTGAAGAAGCTCACAAAAATGACAAAAACTTATATTAAATTAAAATTAATTAAATATATAAAAAAATATTTAAAGTAGTCTGAAAATGATTACAAATATATATAACATATAGAACCTATATAAATTTAAAAAGCATTAAAATATATATTTAAAAAGCATTCAAATACAATATATATATATATATATATATATATATATATATATATATATAATATATAGATTTTAGCTCATTACCAAATTATAATTTTTTTTTATTTAGCTTAAACAAACACTAAAATTGAAATGAATGACAATTATGTAGACATCTAGAAATAGAAACTGAATAAAAATATTAAAACTGAAATTATGCAAATTTCTATTGAGTATGAAGCTGTGTTGTTTTAGTGCCACTGAGACCCTGGTAGCTTAAATTATTATAATTTTTTGGTGTTGTTGTTGCTCTTCTAGTCACGGTTGACACACATTTTCATCCTGTCCAATGCACTATTGTCTACTGTTTTTCAGTGTAAACACATTTGACTGGATGCGTGTGATCGTTACACTAACATCTTTTGAAGTTTATTTTGATTAGTTATTTTTCGATTAATTAGATTTAAACAAAACGCTTTATTTAATTTGCTTCTTATAGCCGTAAATCACCCCTAAACCCAACAACATTGGGGGATAAGCAAATCGTACCAAGATGTACAAATGAGATTGTTCTAAATCATACAAATTTACCACTAAATATGAAAGTTATGATTTGCCGTGAGATTGTGTCGGTCTTTTTGGTATTTCTCTGTAATTTGAACAAGTCAAGCTTTCTTTCAGGATGAGGAAGCTCTCAGATTTCATCTAAAATATATTCATTTGAGTTACAAAGATGAATGAAGGGGTTTGGAATGACATGAGGGTGAGTAATTAATAACAGAATTTTAATTTTGGGTGAACTAACCCTTTAATGGAGACTATGTTTACTCATTAGTGTTGTTAAATGGAGAATTGTGTGTACAACTGACATATTTCCCCATGTCACAACAAGAGTCAAATTCATTTAGGAGTCATCACAACACACAAAACTATATCATTTCATCTGAAGCCAGTGTGGTAAGATGAACAGATTTAATTGTATTCACATATAAACACTTGACAGTGAATATAGTTTATAGCAGGGGTGTCCAAACTCGCTCCTGGAGGGCCTGTGTCCTTAGCTCCAGCTTCTTTCAGCACACCTCCCTGGAAGTTTCTAGTATACCTAAAGAGCTTGGTTCAGGACACGGGCCCTCCAGAAACGAGTTTGGAAACCCTTAGCATTCAGATTTTATCACAGAAGCCCAAGCTTGATGGCTTGACTTGTTTGAGAACCAGTTCGATTCATTCCTGCCTGTCGTTTGGTACACTTGAGCTTCCACAAAAAGCAATGCGGTTTGATTTTTTGTGTCAAGCTGATATGATGTACAGTTCTGATCTGTGTTCATATGTGAAAATACAGCCTAAATTAAATCTGTTCATCACATAAAGCAGACCTGTATCTCTTCAGAAGATTCTGAATTAACCACTTGATTATGTTTTATCTCTTTATAAGCATCTTGAAGTTGTGAACAGACATTTAATGTTTTTAATGTTTGTGTTTTGCAAATGATTTAATGACTGAGTTTACATTTGAATGTGAATTAAGCTTTTAATAGGTATGAAATGGTTATTATTTCTTTGTTAAGATGCAGAGCTTTATTTAGGTCATACAGAATTCATCAAATGTGTTTATTATGTACATTAAAGATTATAGACAGCTTCTAAAGATATTTTTTTATATATATAACCTAAACAAATGTAATAATTTCCTTTATTAAAATGCTGATATTTGTATATGCTGTCACAGTTGAGCTACTAGTTGAACATAAAATATTAAAATGTTTATTAATATTTAATCTGTCTGGGTTTTTTGTTCAGGAGCTGTCTTTACACAGTTACTGATAATATTTGTTGAACTCTGTAACCTTTGAACTGCTTCTTCTAGCTTTTTGCAAACAAATTAAATTTGTTCGACAAAGGTTCAGAGTTCGCAGGCAATCGTTTTGCCAAGAAATCCTTCCTTGGTTTGTTGCTGGAAAAAAAAATTGATTGTTTCGTTTGAAATATAGGTATTCTGGCAGTACTTCTTTTAATTAGTAACTCGGTTTGGTGGTTTCTCTTTTTTTCTGTTCTGATCTTTGAACATCATCTTCACACAGAGTGAAATATAAATGAAGCCCATATGCACAATAATTTTCCCTGTCAGCTTTTGCTTTTATGCTTACAACACAATAAATCAACAAGGACACACATTTTATAACAAAGCTGTATGATAAAGCACATTCATTATGTCATAACATGTTTTAACACAAAATGAGATGCGTTGCCTTGGCAGATGGCCTTTTTAAGTGGTTTATTAGTAATCATTTTAGATACATGAAACTAATTGAGAAATGTTAGTCATTTTATTTCAAATTTCTTTATTAAGTTTACTACACTGTAAAAAATCCTGGTTACCTTAAAATTTTAAGCTGCTCAAATTAACCTTATGAGTCTATTGAACTTGTATTATGTTAAACTAACTTAAAACAGCTTGCATAATTTGTGAAATTAAGCTAGAACATGATTTTAGTTAGATTAGATACTTAGTTTACAATGAACAAAACATTTGCTGTCAGGACTAATCGATCATGTAATGTTTTACAGTGTAGATGGAATGTCAATTACAGCATTCATTTTATAATTATCTGTCTATGTTGTTGTTAACATTGCCCCAAATAAACACTTCCCTCCCTCTACATAATTATAACCTAACATAATTAGGTAAAAATAAATAAATAAATTGTGTATATACACACACACACACACACACACACACACACATATATATATATATATATATATATATATATA